TCCTGTGAGGAGCTTCTCGAACCTGTGGACGATCAGTCAGAGGTATTTGAAAGAAAACATATAAAAGTAAAATCTACTTTGTGGATCTTTCAACTGTGTTACTCCATTTTGTATACTTTAGGTCAGAGGAAAATGGTTTATTTTGGCTTCTACTTCCAACAATGAACTCTTCCAGGGATTCATGAACGCATCTCTGGGCTCCTGGTTTGACATTACAGAAGATGGAAAGAAAACAGTGATGATACGACATGACAATCTGTAAATACTCGTCCTGTACAACTTAAAAAATAGACACAAGATAGATATTAAATGTTACTTTTTCTTTTCTTTCTAGAAATGGCCAATGCCTTTATCGCGTTGCTCTTCTGAAGGTGTTGAAGGGTCAAGTGATATATAAAAGTAATTGCAGTAAACTGAATGTAGTTAGAATTAACTATATTGAAATGACCAAATCTTGGTTTTGTCTTTTTCAGTTGGGAAAGGACAATCTAAGGTCCAATACACTTGTAAATTCATCAAGACCAAGAAAGAATCTGTTCTTGGTTTCTTTTGTGATATAGACTTATGGATTCAGAAAAAATCTGTTGGACAATTTATTGTCCTTTTGGGTGAGTTTCAACCTGGATATAAAATGATATGAAATCACCTGGATATATGTTCTTAATGTATTTATTAGGGAGGACTGAACATCCAAGTCACAAAGACAAGAAACGTTTTGAAGAAATGGTGGAATGTGCAGGAATGACCAACATCTACTATCCACCAAATGAAGGTAACATACTCTTCATCATCTGTTGTTTCAGTGAGTCTTGATTATTACAATTTCTGTGTGTGTCTCCATTGCAGATATGTGTGATGAAGGCTAAGAGTGATTCAGCGTCTTTCACAGTGTTCTAGAGAATATAGAACTGTTTCAAACAAATAAAAACAACTTTTGGCATTGTATCTCGTCTTAATTTTAATATTTTAGCACTAGTCCAGATTAAAGAATGGGCAGTTTTTCATGAATCTAAGGGTGACTTTATGATAATTTAACAATCATATTTACTGTAATGTGTAAATATTATACATCAAATGACTTCTTCCTCACTGGCATCTGCACATATCAGCGATCTCCCAACCAAGCAATTCCTGGGAATGTTTGTAAATACCATAACATAGGTCTCTACTCCTATAAGCATAAGACCTGTCAGGGGTGAGTTCAGAACCCCAAAACAGAGTGAGGCCAATGCAGAAAAAAGGAAGGAGTGGAGACAGGGAGCAGGCCAACCGGAGAGAAGAGCGAAGAGACCAGGGCTGGACGAGCACAGGATTTGGAAATTTCAACAGGTAAATTGTGTAATCCAAAATACCAGGTAAGTGAAGAAGACACAGCGCAGCACTACCGATATGGCGGAATTATCGATCTTGCATAGGAGTGATGAGCAGACCAGGGTTATATACAGAGTTGAGTGGAGTGAGTGGAGCAGGTCTGTCTCGTCGACAGCCCAGCAGAGACCGTTCCCGCCCCCGGTCTCACACTTGATCTGTTAAGGGAGAGATCAAAATAAAAACAGTTCTACTGTATTGTTTTTGTATTGTTCTGTTACTGTGTTGCCCTCTGCAAAAGCTCAGGCGTAGACAAACAAGGTCTCCGTCAGGTGGGGAACCAGAACACCTGAATGAGACTAGAACGAGAACAAAGAAAAGTGGGCGAAATGCGAGAACGGAATGCCACTGCTTGAGTAATCCTGGCCTGAGAGGTTACATGCAGAGAATATGGGCTGAATGGTCAAATCAAAACCTTCAGTCAACAGCAAACAACTAAGCTCAGTGTTCCAACATCCACAAACAATAATTGCTATCACAGCTTGAGATTGATAAGAGAGTCTACCCAACAACGCCATGAAAGCCAATGTCAGAGGGGAGGTCCCACCTACGCCCCAACCAGATATTGGGTACAAAGCCCCAACGGAACCAACAATGGTGAACAAGACTGACCCGGAAGATAAGATCATAGCGAGATAGGGCACAGGGCAACCCCAACACTGATTACTGTCGGCCATGCAAACACAGCTTTGAGTGAACCCTTCTGAAAGGATACAACGATTAACATGTCGAACAGCTTCTCCAGATCCACAAAGCACACGAGGACATATTGGGTAAACTTTCACGATCCCTAGAGTTGGACTTTTATTCACACTGTTCCTCTTGAACCGAGATTCAGCTCTCTGTCCTCTCCTCTTCAGTGCCTTGAGCGAAGGACCACCACCAAAGATAACTCGTCCCAAACTAGACTGCATATTCACAGCTCAATCAGTGGGCCAAGGCTAATAGGCCTGTCGGTCAATTAATTTCAATTAGATGAGATTAGGGATTCTTATTTAAGATTATTAATTAGCATATTGAAATGTACTGTAATACATGATGCTCCTGTGATCCTTCGATGTCGGCTCTTCCTATCATTGTGAAGCAGAATTCTACCAAGCGTTGGATTGTTCACCCACTAATAGGGAATGTGAGCTGGGATTAGACCGTCGTGAGACAGGTTAGTTTTACCCTACTGATGATGTGTTGTTGCAATATAGAAATTGCTAGCCTGTGAACTCACCACCTGCAGAAGGATCAGTGAGGGGCTGGTGCTCTGTGTACTGGGTGCAGCTCTGACTGCCACCCCCCCGACCCAGAAATTGATTAAGGGGAAGAAAATGGATGGATGGATGAATACCATCCATCAATCCATTTTCTTCCGCTTCATCCGTTGCCGGGTCGCGGGGGCAACAGTCTAAGCAGAGACGCCCAGACTTCCCTATCCACACAAACTTCCTCCAGCTCGTCAGGGGGACCCCAAGGCGTTCCCAGGCCAGCTGAGAGATGTAGTCACTCCAACGTGTCCTGGGTCTTCCCCAGGGTCTCCCCCCGGTGGGACGTGCCCAGAACACCTCCCCAGGGAGGCGTCCGGGAGGCATCCTGAACAGATGCCCGAGCCACCTCTCATCCCAGCCGCTTCACACTCGGCTGCAAACCGATGCAGCCTGGTTCGTTAGAGCCAACAGGACAACATCATCCGCAAACAGCAGGGATGAAATCCTGTGGTCTCCGAACCGGACCCCCTCCCACCCCCTGCTGCGCCTAGAAAATCTGTCAATAAACTCAGTGAACAGAACCGGGGACAAAGGGCAGCCTTAGCGGAGGCCAACATGCACCGGGAACAGGTCTGACTTACTGCCGGCAATGCGAACACAGCTCTGGCTCCGGTCATACAGGGACCGGACGGCCCTCAGCAGAGGACCCCGGACCCCATACTCCCAGAGAACCCCCCAAAGGACACCAGGGGAACACGGTCGAACGCCTTCTCCAAATCCGCAAAGCACATGTGGACAGGTTGGGCGAACTCCCATGAACCCTCGAGTATCCGATGGAGAGTGTAGAGCTGGTCCAGTGTTCCGCGACCTGGACGAAAACCATACTGCTCCTCCTGAATCCGAGACTCGACCATCGGCCGTAGTCTCCTCTCCAGTACCTGAGGAGTGTGATCCCACGATAATTGGAACACACCCTCCGGTCCCCCTTCTTGTAGAGAGGGACCACCACCCCGGCCTGCCACTCCATTGGTACCGCCCCCGATCGCCATGCGATGTTGCAGAGACATGTCAGCCAAGACAGTCCTACAACATCCAGAGACTTTAGATAGTCAGGACGGATCTCATCCACTCCCGGCGCCTTGTCACCATGGAGGCTGCCAACCACCTTGGTGACCTCGGCCAGGGAGATGGAAGTATCCGCCCCAACATCCTCAGCCTCTACCTCCGGGGCGGAGGACGTGACAGGGGGATTGAGGAGAACCTCAAAGTATTCCTTCCACCGCCCGACAATATCCCCAGTTGAGGTCAGCAGCTCTCCACCCGCACCGTACACGGCAAAGAACTGCTTCCCCCTCCTGAGGCGCAGGAAGGTTTGGCAGAATCTCTTCGAGGCCTACCATTAGTCATGCTCCATGGACTCTCCGAACTCCTCCCAGTCCCGGGTTTTTGCCTCTGCAACAGCCCGGGCCGCGGCACGCTTGGCCTGCCGGTACTGGACAGCTGCCTCAGGAGTCCCACGAACCATCATGGCTCGATAGGACTCCTTCTTCAGCCTGACGGCCCCGTGGGCTGAGGCCCGGCCTCCAGACGCTCGCATTTGAGCCCCAACCCCCAGGCCTGGCTCCAGGGTGGGGCCCCGGCTGCGCCATGCCGGGCGACGTCACTTGTTCTGTTCTCGTGCTATCCATGGTGGCTTCGGACCGCTCTACGTCTGACTCGTCACCTGAGACCTGTCTGCCATGGGAGACCCTACCAGGAGCATGAAGCTCCAGACAGCATAGCTCTCAGGATCACCCGAGTACTCAAACTCCCCCACCACGTTAAGGTGGCAGTCCAGGGGGGAGTGGATGTAATACATGATTTACAAATACTTTCAGAAGTCAGAATCTGTACCCTCAGTCTGCTGTGATAGATATTAGATTTAGCCCCTTTGGTGTGGCACTAATCCCATGTAATACTTAAGTTGTGTGTGAAATTTAGATTTCCTCCAAAAAGTAGGAAAGTTGCATTTCAATCATTACTTTTTTATCAATGTCTGGATTTATCTGCTCTGCTTTACCTTCCAAATTGTGAAATTGATTGTATTATACTTGAACTGTGATAGAAATTAGTATTTTATATTAACAAAATGCAAACTTGAAGTGTGCATCACATGGTTTCACATAATTGAAATTCCCTCCCGTAAGCTGAAAATGAGGCCAAATAATTCCCAAGAGTCATGCTTTTAATAGCCAGACTATCTCCCTCATCCCTCTTGGTGAAGATGATGATGGCCAGGACGGAAGATACAGTGTTTCTGAAACTGCAACAACCAAGGCTTCCTTATGTTGTGAACAATGTGTCCTTGATTTGAACACAATCAAAATGTTGTGTCCGTTCTGAGTATAAATATTGGCTCCTGTCAGTGCTCAGTATTCGGATCCTCACGACGTCAGAATGTTCCTGCAGGTGCTCCTGTTTGCACCGACTCTCTGCTTTGTGAGAGCTGAAGAGCTCGGCTCTGAGAAGCAGCTTGTGCAAGACCCCCGCTTGGTGATGAATACAAAATCTACTTTGGTCTGAAGCTTTACTTATAATCTTTGTTTTATTCTTCCTCCACAGGTTGTTGGGAAATGGATTGTGCACGCTGTAGGGTCCAACAACATCACCATTTTCAACAGGCTGCAGACTGTTACCAGTTCCTGGGTGATGATTTCAAAAACAGATGAGGAGGACAAGTACCACGTTCAAGTACATGACAAAGTGTAATGTATTTGATTCTTTATTGCACAGACATGGCCTGCTTGACACTAGTGTGGAGTGCCGCAGTCACATTGTAATATACTTCATTGATTATTATGGAATAAGGAATAATCTTGCACATAATTTCTCTTTGCTCTTCCTGGTATCAGTGGCGATACGTGCTACTCCAAAGTCGGAGATGCCTATCTGTGGGAAGGTGGTGAAGTGACGCTGACTTGTGAGTTAGTTTAGCATTCTTTATTTTTCACATGACTGATTCATCATTGAGTTTTGTGTCCAGTGACTGGAACACCGTTTAACACAAAGCACAAAGGAGTCTATCTGCAGACTTACTCAGAGAATGCTGTTGTGTGGTTGGATCGATCCTACCACCAGAACGGTCATACTTTCATCACTGGGAAAAACATTGTGCTCTTCAGTGAGTTTACAAATGGCATGTTTAATTGAATGAAATGCATATAATTATATTTTTTTGACAGAGAAGAGCAAAGTTGTGGCCGATCAAACCATGCAACGTTTCATAGAACAGGCCAAATGTGAGAACATTGATATCTTCGACCTGCCATCTACTGGTAACACTGGTAACACTTTTACATCTCTGTTTCTCATATATTTGATTACGTAAAGATTACCTGAGGTTTCCTTTCAGATCTCTGTGCTGAGCAGAACAGCGGGACTGCAGAGTGACATTAAAATAAATGCCAACTCATCATTCTTAACCAAATAAAATGATCTCCTAACCAGCATCAATAAAACATATCTGTATCACAAGAGTGCACTGACTTATCATTACTATAAGTTGTAGTGTGTTTTTTATCAACTGAAGGAAAATGTATGTTGCCGTGAGTATATATTATGTGTGTAAAGGTTGATTTGTGTATTTCTTTTATTGTTAATAGATTTATTTTTTTATTATGACACTTCCTGTCTTGACCTAGAAGTGGCTCGCACCACCTCAGATGGAGAGACAGCTGCGGTCTAGTCTATGGTCTAAATAGTAAAAAAGTTAATACGGCATACAAGTAACAGTTGAGAAAGAGGGAACACTGTATGCATTGATTTGAAATGTGTAATAATTGTAAAGTTTGTTTAACCATGTAAATAATAGCATTTGTAAATACAGTTAACAGTGCAAACTGAAAGTATCCATCCATCAGTCAGAGCTGCTCTCAGTACACACAGCACCAGCCCCTCTCTGATCCTCCTGCAGGCGGTGAGTCCACAGGGGGGCTATATATTTAAAAAGAAAAGAAATAAAATAAATATATAGTAATTAGAAATGAGTAAATAGAAGAAATATTTGATTTCCTGGTTTGAATTGCTTTGCTCACTCCAGTGTTTTACTTACTTTACTTTTGTATATTAAATCATCATTTTAACAGAGGGATCAAAAAATATAGGGTAAACGTGAGTAAAATAAAGTAAAAAAACAAAGAAGATAAATAAAAAATCCTTTATTGTGGAAAGGATGCAATGTTTTAGTCTTAATGTAAAAATGTAATTCCTAGGGAGACATATCTTCTATCTTTATAGTTTATAGGACAAGATAGTTTTGCTTTTCCCATTGGCAAATCTTATTTTTAAGGATATCAAAAAGTGTGAGATACATTTTTACGTAACGTACGTAAGTGTGCATAAGTTTGAAATATGAATTGCTAATATTATATTGCCTATAACCTAACATGATCCACTAAATTATTATAAATAAATTGGTGTAGCCCTAAATCACAACAGCAATAGTCTCGGAGGACTTTACAAAGTTGTTGATTCACCATTTATACAAATACAGAAAATGTAATAATAACAAACACATACGTAGGAGAAATTGATCCATAGGAAGCAGAATGACCAATCCCCATAAAAGTTAATTCATGTGAGACATCACAAACCCTACAGGGCTATTGCTTGATCTGTATTGTTTATTTAGGACCCTTACAAAAGACCTTTTGTTTTGCTAGAGGCCCATGTTCCCCCCTCATACAATTGAGAGAGGACTATTACGTAAGGGAATGTTTTGGACACAATAACTGAACTTGAGAAGCCAAAGGAGGTGTGTATGCAGTCGGACCATCCCACCGTTACTGGGGTTTCTGCCTGAGGTTATTGAGTGGCCGGAGCAGACAGGACACCAGTGTGACCCAGGACTTCTCGCTGTTGTGGTCATGACTCCACAACTGTACGTCTTTCTGCTGGCCTTGGCCTTTTTGCGTGCTACAGCTGAACCAGAATGTCAGAATCTGGTCAAGCCTTTGGTGTTGGACAGCCACAGCCCGGTGAGTGTGACGAGCAAATCTGAAATTACTGTCATATTTCTATTATTTTGTCTGTGTGTCTGGGTGGTAGATCTACGGGAAGTGGGTGCTCCATGTTGCGTCATGGGACAAAGAAGAACTCAAAGATGACCTGTTTTCTGTAAAAGCGTCTCTGGTGGAACTGTCGGCTCACGCAGACAATGAGCACTTGACAGTTTATTGGGCCGATCGCATGTAATTGCACGATGAAGGCAAATAGCTCCTCAATGTTTATTTAAGATATTTAGTACATATCTGTCTTCTGTAGGAGAAAGGATGATAGCTGCCTCCAGGGTCTGACCAATGCCACCGTGTCTGGACTTACAACCCACGCTACATGTAAGCATCTATAGCTCTCTTTTTTCTCTATTATTGGCAATACATCACATTAATTCTATGTAACATATTGTGCAATCTTAAAGGCAGCTTTTTTTTCTGTATCAATAATGTATTTTGTTTGGTTCCAACAGAAAGAGATTTGTAAAAGTAAAATGAACAGACCTCAAAATAAACCTCTTAATCATTTTTTAGCGTTTTTGTTATTACGAGTCCAGTGCGTTTTTGACGTTTAGGGGTGAGAGCTGATTGGCTGAAATGAGGGAGGTCTTCTCTTTTTCACTTCTGATCTTAAAAGGGGGCACAGGCCACAAATACATGCATGTGAAAAATAGTAAATAGTTAGATGGATATAAAAACATGTATAGTGAAGGTTCTGAAAGTTTGATACCCAAGCTTTCATGCTCAATACAAATCAAGACTAGATAAGATTCTTCAGACACAAAGTAAACAGGACTATAAATAATGATGATAATAATAATAATAATAATAACAATACCAATAATAATAACAATAATAATAATAATAGTATGTTTTTGTGTACATTACACCTCACATTTCCAGAAAACCTCAAAGTGCTAGCGATTAATTCACAATACCACACACACAAAAAGGGTAAAAATCGGAAGTACATAAAATATCAATAAGAATCGTGAAGTTAAAAGATAATTAAAATCCATATAAGCCTGATTGAAACAGAAAGTTTTTTATTGGGAATATAATGTTTGAATATGTTTTCAGTTAATATCAATGGCCACACTTCATATCATGAGGGGAAATACTATGAGACTTGTGCTGACTGCCTGTTGTCTGAGGACACCACTCTTCTGCCTGATGGAACCTCAAAGGGACGCTACCTCTTCCTGTTCAGTAAGTCAATCTTCACAGTCACAAAGTCAAAATCATACTTTAATACTGTAAACAAGTGTGCATGTGATGTTTTTCCAAAGCACGCTCTGGCAAACTGGAGTCCTCTCATTTGGAGACTTATAAGAAGCAGGCAAAGTGTCTGCAGTTCCCTGAGGAGTTCTTTTTCACATCAGATGGTAAGTGAATGTTGGTTTTTCTTATTATTATTCTTGTTTACGCCCTTTCTGTTCAACGATTAGATCCTTGCCCAGATCAGAGGGAAACAGTGACTTCTGCAACAGAGAACAACCCTGCAGCCACAGAAGCACCAGCCAAGTGAAGTCATAGAGATGTAGTTTATCTCATCAGTCATCAGATCTGCAATATTATATAGTAGTCACTTTCTATACATAATACATTACACGTACGCTCTAGTCACACATTGGTGATTTTGTGATGGTAAATAAAGCACTTTGTCCTTTTATTCAAAAGGGTTGTTTGTGTTTTCTTTTCCCTTTGGAACTTTTCTGAATACCAAATGCTTAACGAGGCAACAAATTGTACGCAGGTCTTTTCATGCCAGTTTAACTCAGCCCTGTTCCCAGAGGAAGCCCAGTTTCTTTTTGGGCTTAGTTAGTGAGTTAGGGCGTCGCCACATCACCATGGAGACGCAACAGAGCAGGAGTGAAGATACTATTACAAGATTTCAGAGGTTGACTTCGTCATCAGAAATCTGATAAATTCCTGATTACATTAACATGCTTGTTTTCAAATAGAACAAGCATGTAATAGTACAATATTGTACACATTTAAGACATTTAAAAATGAATTACTATTGATCATTTCTTTTTTTAATAAGACAAAAAAGAGAGGATCTTTTAACTGTTTGAGTTTTACAAAAAATCAACGAAAGGTTCCCATGTTGTATGAAATATTTTGCAGAAAATTTCTGCTCCAAATGTACCTGGAGCAGATATCTTAACTTTTCTAGTTGCAAATGTCTCATCACATCACACATTAGGACAGAGTGGACTGGGGGCGGGGCCTGTTTGCAGTTTAACAAAATGAATCCAAAGTTATGAAGCAGACCATCACAATTTGGGGCTTTGATGAGTCAACAGTAGTCGGCAATATATCAATGGGTCAGGTTTGAGTGTTGTTTTTTTATTTGTATAAGCAATCAAATGTTGCTTGAAATTAATAACGAACAAAATAGTTCTTTCCAATATTGTGTAACGCATGAGCGATTGCAAAACATGTGAGCGAGTGAGGCCAGTTGCTGTTTACACCACCAACATTTTGTGCAGTTGATGTAACACTAAATTGTATAAGACCTCAACGATTGCAAACAGAAGAACAAACAGAGCAGGAGGGTACATTTTCTTCAGATTCAGATTCCGTTTATTTGCCATTTGCAGTAAAAAATCACATTGGAATACATTAGCAAAAGTCACCAGTGTGCACAGACAAATACAGACATAAAACAACATTAAAAGTACGGAAATAAAACAAATAAAACTGTAAACAAGTGTCACTGTGAAATTGATCGGCTAAAACAGGGTCCTTGGTTCTTCTTTAATTCTTTGGTTTTAATCTATTGATTTTCTGTGATGTTAACCCCCAAGTCCTTTCGTCTCACTGGACAGATATTTCTAACATCCTTTATGCAACAGGCGCATGCACCTTTAGATAATACAAAGTTTAAATTGTCTCTTCATTTGTCACTTGTAAATTTAGTCTGTATTGTAATTCTCTAGTACAGTGTTGCCAAACTCTGGTACATGTAACCCTGGCGTATTTGCAAACTCTGGTGCAGTTTGATTTAAGGAGTAGACAGTCATTTTTGTCCACATTTTGCCCTTTTTTCCCCCAAAAAAATCTGAATTTAAAGATGCATTCAAATAGCTGTTGTTTTGTAAGATTGTACTCAAAGAGAACCGGTTTATTTTTTGAATTTCAATTGAACTTTAACAAACCCTGCCCCTATCGTGTGTTGATCCTCCCCTTGACCACCCGTACAGTGACCAAAAGCCCAGTTCTGTTCTGTTGTTTTTATTCTCTTGAGAACATGGGACCTTTAAGTGTCACTATTGTGCTTTTGGCTGTCACTTCACTCAGTGCTGCATCATCACCGAGTTGTGAAGAGCTTCTAAAACCATTGGTGTTTGAAAATCCTCAAATGGTAAGTATCTAAGTTGACATCTACTTTACTTCAATGTAATTTTTCTATTAAAAGACATTGTTCTCAGGTTTTGGGGAAATGGATTTATATGATGGGTGCTGGTGACCCCCCCTCATATCACAGAGCTCTGGGTTCAGTGGAAAGTTCCTGGCTCAACGTGTCGCTCACCTCCGAGAGCCAGACACTGACGCTGCTGTGGGGGGATTCCTGCTTGTAAGTGCAAACAATAGATAATGTATTTGTGTTTTGATATTTCACTCATTTGTTCCCATCAGTGGCCGCTGTATTCACACAGAGGTCAATGCAACAGTGTCTGGATTCTCTGCCATGTTTCGCAGTGAGTGGAAAATGTTAAATTTGACATATTTGTATGGTTTTCTAATGATTTACCTTGTTACATGTTCAAAATAATACACATTCATTACATAGTGCTTTTCATGATTCCCAATTCCTTAGCATTATTCATTCACTCCATACACAGGGGTGGTAAAGTATTGGATATGGAGAACTAAAGCTAGTCAAAACAACACATTTCAGAAAATATTTATTCAAAAAAGATTGCTAGAAACAGGTTTACATGTATTCATTCATTTTAACAATATCAGAATGTCTTATATAAAATCATACTGTAGCTTCATGAAAAAGTATCATTGTGGTATTGAAATTGGTAGAGAATGAAGGATTTTTCTAGTATCAAAATGAAGTTGTAAATGTAGTATTGTCATAACTTATTTGTAGTAAGGGGGAAGCTACAGGGGCCTGGCAAATCTGCGCAGTTGATGGTAAAATAAGCAAAGATGAATGTAATTGTGTGGGCAGAGAATCTATCCGATCACAAAGGTCACTTGCTGCAGTCGTGCTCAGACTGCCTGCTGTGGACCGACACATTTCGCAACATGGATTTTACTGGAAGAAACCTCCTACTGTTCAGTGAGTCCAGCTTTTCTCAATCCCCAAACACAAAGTACCAGCTTCACTCTTGTGTCTTTACAGCGAGAAGTGGGACGGTCAACGCTGAAGATGCTGAAATATTCAAGAAACAGCTCCAGTGTCTGAATTTCTCACAGAACTTCCACAGCTATGATGGTAAAAAAGGTCAGTCAGGTGTTTGATGGATCCGAATGCACACAGAGATAGGAGTTCCGAAACTTTGCAGAAGTAATTTATATATACTTTGTTTTGCTTTCCAGCGCTGTGCCCATGACAAGGAAAGTGCAGTGTACTGTAAAAATAATAGAATAATGTAAACTAACAAAACACCAAAATCATTGTTTCAGTTATGTGGCATATACAATGACGGAAGAACAATAAAATATAATCAAGATGCATTTTCAGTGCTTTCGATCATTGATAATAACCAACCAAGCGTTGTTTTGACACGCTTGTGCCGTACACGGAGATGTTGTGTCCCATTTCTGGCATTTCATCGTTTTCACATATGTACTTATTTACACGTTATACAAACAAGCACGACTCAATGACAAAAGACAGGTACAATATGATGAAGGAAAACTCATACAAGAGCAAGTGGAATAACTTTGCTCTGTGGAAAAGAACCACTTGAACATTTTTTTGTCAGTCAACCCACATCAGTCAAGGAACTATATGTGAGGAAAGAAAATGCACCACAAGAAGTAACGCAACGTTCAACAACAAAACCCTCCATCTGTGTCATCAAACTTTGATCGCTTTAACATTCAACCAGGAGGAATAAGAGACAGCTTTGTCATTCCATAACTATTATGTAGATGACTCACTTTGCCCTGGTTTACATGTATGCCGCTGTAATTAAACTCTCCGCTGGCTGTCATATGACATGAATATGAATATAAATTATGAAAAACAAGGGACCTGCTAATTTATGATACACAAATTGGATTGAAGTTATAAAAGGCAGAATTACAATACATTTTTGGTAAGAATTTATTATCTGACAAATGTGATCAGAGAATGAGACACAATTTGAAGTTTAGCCAACAGTAGAAAGATGCATCATAAAACTTAAATACTAAAAAGTTCGGTTCCCCTTTTCAACTTTTCTGAAAAAAAAAAAAAAAAACTGATCTGAAGATGTAACCGAGGCCAAAACCATGCATGTGAAAACTAGAACCATGCTGGTTACATACAGTAGACGTTTTAATTGATCCATTTTATGGTTTCAACGTTTTCTAGAGCTTTATTGCGTTTGACTGGTTGGATCACTCATTTCAGTCAAGGGCTTTACGCGTACTGGCTTCTCAGAGCTTCCACTTTGTGTATGCTACTGCTGTATCCACCGCTTCTCGTACTTTGTGTTTTGAATGAACTCGATGGCCTCGCTCTCCTCCTGAACATGGCCAAGACTCGTTGCTGGCACTGGGAAGACCCAAAATAGTAGAGCAGGGGGTCGATGCAGCAGTTGAGACTCCCTAAGCACAAGGAGAGCAGATAGGCCTGGTAGATGTAGTCAGAAGACAGCTGGACATAGTGAATCATAAGGATAATATTAGTCGGGGTGAAACATACCACAAACATCACTAACACCAGGACTGTCATAACCACTGCTCTTGTTTTCTTGGATCTTGTCTTTACGTTGGCCTTGGTGAGGGCTTTGACAATCCGCGCATAGCAGACCATCGTTATCACCAAGGGAATAAAAAAAAAGAGAGTGGCATATACAGGGAAGAAGTAAATATAGTAAGACTGATGCTTTTGGGCATCTTGGACATCATGACAAGTGGTGATGCCCAGCTCTGGCAGATGGGCCGTTTGTGTGGAGAAAAGCAGCGGTGCAACTCCAGCTAATGCCACCAGCCAGATGGAAACGCAGACCGCTTTGGCAGTTTGGGGACTTCTCCAGGTGAGGGAGTTTATTGGGTACACCACAGCTAAGAAGCGGTCCACGCCGATGCAGGAGATGAGCAGGACAGAGCAGTACATGTTACAATAGAAGGCTGCGGTCACGACGCTGCAAGTCCATTCACCGTAGATCCAGTTGTTGCCGTGGTAGTGGTATGAGATTTTAAAGGGGAGTAACAGGCCAAAGAACAAGTCTGCACAGGAGAGGTTGAGCATGTAGATCACAGCTGGCTTCCGAGGACGGATGTATCGCACAAACATCACAACAGCGACAAGGTTTAGGGGCACACTGACAATAAAGACCGACATGTAGAAAGTGGGGACAAAGAGTGTTGCCAGACGACCCTGGAGGAATTCTTTGGCCTCGTTGGAGACTATATAGAAGCCTTGTTCTTTGGGATGGGAGACTTCTCTCACTGGGAGCTGCTCTGGGCCAAAACCAGATCCAAGCTCTCCCAAAGTCTCGAGCTCTGACAAGTCAAGATAGTCCACAGGCTCATCGTGGACTGACACAAAGCGACCGGAGAAGCCTCTTGGATCCAGCCGAGTGTCTAAAACAACAGGAAAATATTACAAGCATCAGAGCTGAATATAAATACCACTTTAGCTTTAGAGTTGTGCAACAGAATTTGGAAAATGTCTTACCGTTTGGGGACATGCAGGCAGAGCTGTGAAGAGTCAGCAGCAATGGACTAAACACAACGTAAACGAACATGGCTGGTTTGTGGCTCAAACTGTGGACTGTAAAGAGAAGTGATGCTCATATCAGCAAGACTCCTCCCACTGGAACAGTAACCATTTTTACAAAACTGAAAATGAAATTTGTTTTTTTAAATAAATGGGAATAACAGCACAGCATTTCAATTTATTAATTAAAACATTTGGTATAAATATAATAATTAAAAAGGCACTTGTGGACAACATACATTCATGAAATTATCAGAGCAAAGTATAAACACATTTGTCTTAGCGTCTTCACACATACAAAAAGAATCACAAATCATTTAAAACATACATCAATACATTACATTTACCATTTACCACATAGATGAACAGGCAATAATAATATGTTTCTTATTGGTCGGAGATAAAACTGCCTAAGGCACTCTTCAAGCTGCGGTTATCTTCTTTCCTGTTCATTTCCCGTAGAACTTTTTGTTTAGCAGAAAAATGAGAAGATTGACGTTGACTTTAGCTTTGTCAAACATCTTCATGACGGACACGCCTTCGTACTGCAGCTGAAGGAGGTCCTGAAGTACAAACATCACAACCTAAGCCCATAATCATTGGTAACATGTTTACCTTTTATTTTTTACTTTTTACCTGGAAGTGTAACTTTACTTTTTCCATCTCCACTCCCATAAATTTGGCTTTGACTTCAAAGTCTCCAACTTCCTCAGTTGGTGAAATGTCAAACATCACATTTTTAAACCTGGAAGAAATAAGGAATACACATTTTCTATGTGCAATCATAGTATACATGTGTGAATGGCCAAAGATAGCCCAGTACAAAGGTGTAATAACCTCTAATTCTCACCAGTAGGATTTGTTGGAAGTAAAAAGTGGTTTATAAAAACAACACACAGTTTGCACTTACTGGTTTGTCTGAAGACCTTCTATCTCCAGAATGACTCCTTTCTCATGCAGTCGTGCTGCTGTATATTTCAGAGACTGGGGCTTCCACTTCTTACTGCCTTTGTCCTCTAATTTACTGTCCACTTTTATTGATCTACGGGAATTTCTTTAATAAAGAAAGACAATAAATTGCCAATTCTGTTTACATATTCACACATTAGCACAAAGGGCTCGACAAAGTGCTCACTTGCGATTGAGATTATCCAGGCACGTCTTTATGTATGTGTCATAGTAGTTCATCTGTTCTTGGAAAAAGGCAGTTTTGGAGTTCAATGCTTTTAGAGTCTGCTGCAGCTTCACAAGCTCAGCCTTTCTTCTTTGTCTGTAGCGCCTTTGGTAGCGAATGTCCTGCCAATGTACGAAGTGTGTTTACAAAGGCTACATTTGAAAGGACTCTGGTAAATGCATTGCACTACCTTGGCGATGTCATTGATGACGTCTTGGTATTTGTTGGCTGCGGTCACAACACCAGCCTGCTCCAAGTTTCTCAAGTTTCTCAAGATTTTCCTCTTCTTCTGTTCAAGCGGCAGCTGGCCATCCTCCAGCAGGGCGGCGCTGCTCTTCAGGCCCTCGGGGGTTTGTGCGTCCTGCACCGCACGCCTCTCCATGATCTCTGTGTGGTCCAGCTCCTTCAGTCCATACACAACGTCACCGTTAGGAAGTACAACAACAGTGAGAAGCACGGTTTTAATATTATTCATGTTTAGGAAAGGTGTGCTTCAGAGAGAGCAGATGATCACCTGAGAGGAAGAAGCTGCAGTCTCCAGAATGTCTGTCAGGGATTCTCCGGGTTGAATCCGTATAACATCCACTACCAGTTTTTTAGTCCTGTACAAACAAAACTCCATGTTTAGTAATACAAAAAATCAAATATAACAATTCTAATAGAATATTATGAAAAAAATATACAAAAAGGATCAAATGTAAAAGCAAATATATAAAAGTGGAAGACGATGGATGGATGAGAGGTTGACCTGCTTAGACTGGATTATTTAAAATAAATCTATACAATTTAAACAAATATTGAAATAGTTGAAAGTATATTTTTCTATGGAACAGACAAGGGGGGCGACAGTAGCTCAGTTGGTAGAGCATCGGCCTTAAGGCCAGAAGGTCGTGGGTTCAATTCCCACCTCTGCACCTTCTCCACCGACTCCCACTGATGACTGCTGTCGTTGTGTCCTTGGGCAAGACACTTAACCCCACTTTGCCCAAAGCCCCCACTGAAAGATCAAGGCTATGCTCACACTCAGAGAGCAGCCGTCCTCCTGTGGACTCACCACCTGCAGAGGGTCAGTGAGGGGCTGGTGCTATGAGACTTGGGTGGCATCTCTGATTGCCACCCCCCTGACCCAGAAATGGATTAAAGGGTAGAAAATGGATGGATGGATGGATGGAACAGACAAGGAAGCCTTGGACGGCAAGATAAGTGACTTCCTCTCCAAATAGGACATGATAAAAGAGGGTTTTGACATCACTCGGACTGAGCCTTTCCTGTCATTTTAACCCACTAAGAATGTTTGTTTGCCCTTTACTTTCATTCCACATTTTAATATCCCATCTTTAGAAATGAGTACATTTAAGAAAGATAAGTGCATCAGTGGGTCAATATGTTCTGAGGAAGGACCTACATGGTTGAAAAACATGTATATACAGTTATGATATTAACTATTAAGTCGGAGTGCCCCGGATTTTTCTTTTTTGCATGTTCAATTTTATGTTGAATTGACGTACTTTGTCATAAGAGTCTTTAAATCCGTATCTTCTCCATCCAGCAGCTCACATTTACTGGTTAAAGTGAGTGAGATCTCAGTCTTGGCCAGCTGGCTTAGTGCGGCCTCCCTGTTTGGGTCATTAGGATCAATTGCACCTTCACCTGATTTCAAAAACAGATGGTCAAACTGATCTAAGCTGAAATATAAAACAGAAATATTAATCATATCAAAACGAACCAAGCAGTGCCTCCACATCCGGCACTTCCCCAAGGTCCTGGAGCAGCTCATGGAGTAGGTCGTTCTGGTCTGGAGCGATGGCCTGCAGGTGCTCCAACAGCAGCTGAACACAACACACATTTACATTGTACTGTACATAGAGACACTCAGAGAAACGGATGATGAGCGGTTTACCGAATGCGTATTGATAACTTCTTCTGTTGAGATGTAAATGATGGGTTTGCTCAAAGTCACCATGTCCGTATATTCATCTATGTTGAATTTCTCCTCGGGTTCAGGCACATCACAAGCAGTTTGGAAAAATGCCCTGAAATGACAGAAACCCGCATTTTAAAAATACGTGACTTCCATTATGCATTTGATATTAAAACAAACACATTCACACATTACTTGCTTGAGTCCATAATTACCATCAGAGGTGGAATGAGACATTAAAGTAGAGGCACCCAACTTTTAATTTTCATGAATACCATAATATGTGAAAAATCAGACCACAGCATGCAGTCTTTATCTTATTAGAAAACATGTTGTATTCTGCATACAAGAAAGAGTCAAATAGTGACTAACAGGGCTGACAGCTGATTGGCTGAGTGAGGGTGGTCCCCTTTTGCACTTTTGTGTCACAAAAAAAGCTGATTTAAAGATGTGACAGAGGCAAACAATACATGGATGTGGACACAAGTGATGGAATTAAAGTGAGATGTTTGACATTACTTGGCCATTCCCGAGGCCAACAGTTCCTCACCTGAACTTCTCGTATGTCTGAGAGATGTAGTTGTTCATTGGGGTCATGTGTGCATTCTCTCCTTCAAACAGTTTATTTGCAGCGGCGTGTTGGAGCATCTTGGCCACAGAGCCCAGGTTTCTGCGCTGGTCCACATGTAGCTGACCTCCGGCCGAAATGTCAATGATGTCGAAGCCGTCAGGAGCTACAATGGCTGGGTTCATGAAGCGGTAGTACAGCAAATTCCCCACAATCTATGAAGGGAAAAACATTCAGTGGAACTGTTCAAATAGTATAAATGGAAGAATATTGTATTATAATATAATTGAACAAAGTCTACCTTCAGCAGTTCATCTTCTGAGGCCACAGGAAACTTTTTGTGCAGGCTGTTCTTCAAAACCTTTGCTACGTATCTCATGCCATATCTGGACAATAGAACAAGGAGCATAGACCATATGTTTCCTTTTGTTTCTTTCAACAGAAATAGTAAAATGAAGAATGCATGGAAGATACAGTCTACATCTTGGATGTTATCCTTTGCATACCGCGAGTCACTTTAGGCTGGTTTGAAAAAGCTGATCTAAACATGTGACAGAGGCTAGTGATGGAATTCACCTAACAAGTTCCTCACTCTCAAAATGAATTGATCAATATAGGAACGAAAGTTACATCTATAACTACCGTTCTATGCATCCCGGATGACCACTAGAGGCCGGTGCAGAGCACTGAATGTTCCCTCTGCACATTTGCAGTTTGAGTAGTAATACCAAATCATACGAGTCACCTGCCTGTTACCCCTGGATGATGCCCCAGAAGTACAAACAGCATCCTTCACCACACAAACATCACTGTCGCTCCTCATGGACAGCGAAACTGTAGCTCCAGCAGAAAGGCTGTTCAGCAAACCAATCATTTATTTGCTTTAAAGAATTTCGAACGCAAGAATAAAAAAGTAACAGAGTGATGGACGATGTTGGACTATTTTACCTCTGGGGCGTCATCCATTGGTCACAGGGACTTATTTTATATTACCAGCTGTGCATGTGCAAAGACAACAGTGCTATAAAACGCCCTCTGGCGGTCAGGAAGGATGAAATGAACCCCAGGCTTTAGTGCGTCTTATCTTGTCTTAGGTACAAATTCTGGAAAGTTTGCGCGTATGAAATCCACATTCAATTCAATTCAATATAAACATTTAAAAGACATTACTCAGGCAACTGAACTCCCCTTGTGGGAAAGTATGCAGCATATTCAACACCCAATAACTGCAGAAACAGTGCAGATAATATGGTTGTACTTACGGAATAGTATCCAGCGAGGACACAATAGAGTTTAAGACTTTGTCTGTCGCAGTGCGGAGGTCCTGGCTGGACACCTCTAGTCTGTTGCGCACCTCCTCATGGGACATGGCCTGCTCTGGGGTGACATCGTACGGCAGTTTGCTGCAGACAGAAAGGAGTTATTGATGAATCTTTTCAGAATCACAATAATTCAAAGAGAGACTGCTCTCGCACCTGGCTTCTCCTGTGGCAGTTTCCAGCTGGTTGACCCAGGCCTTGTACACGTCCACAGGATTGGTGTTGATGCCCAGACTTTTGTCCTCGATGATGTCCTTCACCACAGGCGCCAGCAGCTGCCTCAGCGTGTTGTGTCCTCGCGCTCCCCTGTTGAAACTCACCACCATCTTGATAACCGTCGGGTTTCCAGTCACAATTTCCTGAATCTGATCGACCTTAGAACTGATTCAACAATGGACAACATTAATGTACGCTCATCAGATTTCATGTTGTGTAAAAGCTCCAATCTCACTTGATTTCCTCCTCAAGAGCAGTCTTAAAGAGCTTGAGTAGCAAGTATTCCTCTCGCTGGTTGGAAGCATAGTTGTACAAAGTGAAAATGACTGTGTCCATAAATTTTGTTGACTTGTTTTGGGGCATCTGGAAAATAAGCTTGGCCAAATAGGACGGATTAGTCTGAAAAAACACAAGAGAAGTCTGTTTTAAGTATTTGCACAACTGGATTAAACCTCTACACAGAACATATATCGACCTGCAGCAAGTAAAAGAGATGTTGATAGGTCTCAAGCGTCCTCCTTTTGCCTTTGCTCAGGCCCTTTATCCCCAGTCTCGTTCCATTAATGAGATCTTCTGAATTAGATTTTTTTAGGTCCTTCATTTTCTTATTATGGGTTACGACATCCTTTAAAATAAAAGGTTTTATAAAATATATCAGCTCAATATGAACAGAAGTACATGCACATACTGAACATTTGGAGCATGTATGTATAGATTACCTGTAAAGTAATTCTGTTCTTCACAAGCAAACCGATTTTAATATCCATTAAATTCAAGTCTTTTTCCATCTGTTGGTTTGAGCGGATCTTTGTCACCACTTCCTCTCTGAGCCCGGTGACCTCCTGCTCCTCCTGTAGGTCAAGAGGGCTTTGCTCCAGCAAATGGACAAACTTGCGCACAACAGATAGAGGAGGATCCTTTGCTCCAGCTGAGAAAAGTAAACGATGTTGAGTTAATAAATCATAATTTCATCATTAATCAGATTGCCATGTTTATATCTCACTGAGTGTCCGGTAGTCCTCTCTGGCTTTGTTGGCCTTTAGAAAAGCCTGGATTTTTACAATCTCTTTCTCCTAAACACAGTATACAATGTCTGTCAATACATTAGAACTTATTCTTCTGGAGAAGAACTATCAACTCACATGAGCCTTGAAAAACTGTAACCTTTCATTGTATTTCCGTTTGGCTTTCCACATTTTCACAAAGGATTGTATCTATGACAGTCAAAACAACATTGTTAAAATCAGAACAGCCCAAAGGACATTTTTAACCATCCTTTACCTTGACAACAAACTCCACATTAGATTTCAGTAAATTAATTCGGTCATTGTAAATCTTTCTTTGCTTGTAGCCTTTCCATAAAGCCTGAAGAAGAAAAGGCAGTTTAAACAATAAGTATAGTATTTTATTGTAAATTAATACTTGCCTGCAGTTGTACCACTCGATCCTCGTGTTGGCGCAGATAGTGCATTCTTTCACGATGTTTCTTTCTGACCAGGTACCCACGGATTTGGGCTTGAAGCAGCGTTACCAGGGACTCATTGGCCAACCATAACTGTTCCCTGTTATACTCTGAAGTCACTGAGCTAATAACACCCTGTTGAGGAAACAAGAGATACTAAGTATCTGTGGTTCAAAGAAAGCCATGTAACTTTTTACTTTGTGCACCTGGATCTCTTCTCTGCTCAAATGTTTACTGTTGTTTTCAAAGTCCACTGGCTCCACCCATGTGCCCTGTCCATTCTGCAAGTTGTAGTAAAAGTTGTATTGCTCTTTAATGCAATGTTTTACCCACATACTATTTGTAGGGGCTGTGAAAGAAGAAGGGGGGATTGCAATATTCGTTATACAATATAGGTGTTCACTGTTTAATCAGATGTACCTTACCTTCATTATTACAGTTGGTCTGTTTATGTTCCAACTCTGACTGATAAGTGTGAGCACATTCAGGAAGTACTGCTCTAATACCAGCAGAGGGCGCCTGCAAGGCCTGGAGTGTGTTTGTAGAGTTTCCTTCAGAAATCATTCTGTTCACTTGAGCTATTGTTTCAGCCACTGCCCACAAAAAAAAAAGATGAAACAAACAAAAATTATATAGTTATTGGCTACTTTGAGTAAAGAAAAAAAAGGTACCAACTTGAGAGAGCTTCCTCTTCGTTTTTATTGGCAGTGTCAATAGAGTCTTGAATTTGGTCCAACCACAAAACCAGGGACTCGTCCCCTGAACTCTGAAATTGAAAAATATTTGATTATAAGTGCAGCCATTTCCATGAGAGATTATAGGGAGGAAATTAGTGATACAGTTGTATCCCTTTGTAAACATCCCAAACATAAAAATATGTTTATTCAGTCTCAGGGATATGAAAATAAATAAACTAGTGTCAACTTTGTTTTTGTTTTTTTCACACCAAAGTCATAATTCCACACAATAATTATGACTTTCAAGCTATGGGGAAAGATTGAACCAATTGTGGTTGACGTGATAATGCACCATTAGCTAGATTTATCAAACACAAGATAAAACAAGCAAAAACAGAAGATTTCTAAAAGGTAAAAGAAGCCCCGATGCACCTGTTGAGTAGGAATAACATTTTTTCAACCGTCTGACAGTGGGCCTCTGCACACTGGGATTCTGACACAGTCAAAGTGGAATTGTGTTTTTTTTTTTCCCAGACAGGAAACGTGCTCCATACAGCACACCAACTCCAGGCTTCCTGTACGCTCGCAGGAAGCTTCATTATTGCACTTACAGCACAGCTTCCCACCATAGCAGACATGGCCAGCAGAGAACCTTTCTGGAAGAACTATTTTGGCATTCGTTTATGGATTTTATTAAAGGGACAATTATCAGCTGCTGTGTTCTGAGGACCGTTTCATGAGAAGTAAACATGGCAAACCTTCTGCCAGGATTAATTCTCTGCCTAATGGCAGCACAGAGCCTTCAACATAAAGGTGAGATTATCTAAAACTAACTATATGCTTTACACAAATTCATTAACAAATATTTCAAAACCTACAGGTAACAAGACAGGAAACAAGATAGGAAACGCCTCTAATGCTATACCAAAAACATTTCAGCCACACAATCACTCCTTCTCCCAGGCAAACCAAAGCTTTACTGGGATGGAACCGTTCCTTCATGTGGAGCCAGAGGATCCAGCCACAGCGTTCACGAAAGGAGTGCTCAGTAACTGGATCATACCCTCCACCTATGCACTGTCTATGCTGCTGGGCATCCCATCGAATGCCTACATTGTGGCTTTTTTAAGGGTAAAGATCAAGGACAAGTCACGGTCAACAACAATTCTTTATTTGAACTTGGCTCTGTCCGACCTATTGCTGCTGCTGTCCTTGGCATTACGTATTCATTATCACCTTCATGGAAACCACTGGATGTTTGGAGAGGTTTCCTGTCGTCTCATAACTGCATTGTTTTACGGAAATGTGTATTGCTCCTCTCAGACCATTGCATGTATCAGTGTGAAGCGTTACCTAGCCGTGGTCAAGCCTTTTCTGTACAGGCGACTGGCGACTACCTCCCTGTCAGTGTGGGCCTGCCTCATTGTGTGGCTTCTGTTCGGGGCTGCGATTGTGCCAGAGCTCCTGGTCAGGCAGAGTTACTACATTCCAAACCTGGGAGTCGTCACATGTCATGACATTCTGCCATCATACCAGAAGCCACACTCTCTGCTGGTTCCGTTTCGACTGGCCCTGGTCTTCCTTGGGTTCATAGTGCCTTTCTTTGTTTGTATTTATGCTCATGTGTCAGTGGTGTATCACTTAAGGCAGTCTGGCTGTGACTGGAAACCTTTTATAAAGGTCAGTAGCCTGGTCTTCGTCATATTTGTGGTTTGCTTCTTACCCAGCGGCACACTGCACATCACTCACTACATCTGTCTGATTGTGAGCGGTGACGACCAAATGTATACGTACTACAGGGCTGCGGTGTGCTTGTGCTGCTTCCACAGCTGTCTGGACCCTCTGCTGTGTCTGCTGCTATCCAGGACCGCCTCCTCTGAACTACACTTCATATCCCTGCGCGGGACAACTACTGCAGCGATGTGACCAAGCACCAGATTACATTTACAGTCTCAAACCAGTAGCAACCATTAAACAACAATAAATGAATGGTAATCAATAATAAAGTTGTGACAAATTGAACAAATGTGTCTCTTCAGCCTTGCATTGTGATTGAACATCATTCAAATATACCTGACAGAGCCGCTCTTTTGTACGCAGCAGGACGTCATGGTAGTGTTTGGCAGTGTCCGGATTCACCCCTGTTAACTTTGCTGTGGGCAGCATCAGTGCTGCCAGTGTCTGCTGATAATCACCAGAGTTTAGAGCCTCGTTGATCTCAGCTATAGCAATAACTCCTGTCACAAAAGCAAAACCAGGTCACATGTGGATCTTTAGAGAATTGAATAAACAAGATCTGTATTGCTATAAAAGCATCTTACGTTCATGCTCTTCAATGACTTGAACGTTGACAACGTCAATGCACTTCTGAACATCGTTCCACGTCAGAAACTCCTGTCCTTTTGAAAGGGCTTCTGAGCGCTCCTTTATCAGTGTATCAGCATATCTGCAAACGTATAAAGGAAAAACTAACACTAAAATTGACAGTTACATTTCAAACCCTCTTGAACAGGTTCAGCGAGCGCCTCACCTGTGGAGGTTTTCTGAGTCGATGTTGGTGAAGCCGAGGGGAGAGTCCGTCAATTGTTCAATAACAGCATGTGGATCTTTAGTGTCCAGCACCTCGTTCAGAACAGCTACAGCCGACAACATTTCCACTGCTACACTCAGCTCTTCATGCCCCAGGCCGCTCTGAAACATCAACAACACTTTCCTCATGTCACATTTTCAAACAGTCAAATTCATATGTGATGAGAGTTACCCGTCCCCCCGTCTGCAGCTGGAGACTGAATAGCTCAGATTGATAAAGTTTGGCAGCACTTTGGTAAACTAAAGGCAGCTGCGCCTCAGGGTTCATCAACTCCTCAACAGTGTTTGTTGCATTTCCAAGACGAATGGCAGTGTTAATCGTGGCAACAGCCTCCAGTTCTGAAAGATACATGTTCAACATGATGTTAATTATGAGCCCACAGTTGATTAAATAATCTGAACAAAAACAAAGATCACACATACTTCGTTTCTCGGCCTCTGCATAATCATTACAAGAAGTGACAAGTCTCTGAATTTCACTTCTGTCACTCATTACTGCTTTTCGTCCTTCCTGCAGCGCAAAACACGATTTAGAATAATTAAACAGGAGGAGGTATACAATCTGATTTCATACCTGGGCTTTGTGTTGACAGTATGTTGTAAAATTCTCAAGGTACCAGCGGCCGTTGGCGTCCTGAACAGCTAACAGGCCTAAGGCTTCACGTTTAAGAGCCACCAACAGAGCAGCCGTGTCCTGGGCCACCAGAGCTTTATTCACGTTTAGTATTGCAGTTTGGCCTACAGAACCAAGGAACCATGTTACATTGCATTGTTGATCGTCAAAGACAAAAGGTGTTTTTCTCATATGCTTACTGTTCACAAGGTCAATGCAGCACTGAATCTCCTGCTGCGTGAGCAGCTCTTCATAAACATCTCGCTCTTCAGTAGAAACAGATGAGCGCTGAAGAAAATACGGGTGGAAGAGTTGATACATAGCACCAAAGCAAATATACAAATACCTTTATGAAAAAAGTCAGACTGTGCACTACTTCTAATCATCATCAAATAAATAAATAAATGAAAAAGTGATTCAACAAACCCGCCCTGCAGACTGCTCCTGCTTCTGTGCTTTAGCCCGGCTCAGTTCATCCTGGTAGTCCTGGGCCAGAGCTTCCTCAATGTTCCTCAACATTGCATTTGGATTATTCAAAGTCCCCATTGTGACCGATGTTTGTCCTCTGTCGATGGCTTCATTTATGGCAATAACAGCCGCATGCACTGGTAGAGGACACAGGTGCAATATAAGACGTGCACATTTACATGTGAATGTATCGATAATAAGCAGCTGTGGACTCACAGGCAGCTTCATCCACAGACAGCTCGTCGGCCAAGAGGCCTCCAATCTTACTGAAGGCTGGCATCTGGATACCATACTTGTCCAACTCACTTCTCATATTACTGATTTCTTCCTCTGTTAAGAGAAAAATTAAACATGAATAAATGTTTCAACAGATTCAACCCCTTTATGATAACAGTGAGCACAATAATTTACCTGTGAAAGCTACTTTTCCCAAAAGATCTTGAATTTGAGGAGCCACACCAAGTTTGTACAAGTATAAACTGAAAACATTAGCACATACATTTGTAACAAGTATTTCAACATAATAAATACACAAGCCACAAGGGGTCAGTGCTTTGCAGATGAGAAAAGCCATTGCTTCATTCCAGCACAGAGCGGTTGGCTGGAAACTTCATTAAACTTTCATGTTCCCACTGGTACCTGATAAGTTAACATGAATTATGCATGCTATACACTGGTGAGGGCACCGCTCTGAATGGGAAAATGTCTGAATGAGTGCAGTTCCAGTCTTTATAGAACATGACTGAACACAAAGCTGTTACAAACACATGGTTCCTGAGGTAATGGACGCGGTGCAGGCCGCAGCATCAGATGACAGCCTCGAGCCCCGAGCGTCCTTATGACTGAAATCCCCACACTACATTTCTGGATTCTTAACAGCGGTTTGGGAGACGCAACATTTTTTACAAACTCCACTGAAGAAATGTAATTCCTTTGTGATGAATATAGAACAGAACAGTTGTGATGCGACTTGTATTGTGAGGTCAGGAAGGAAGAGCACGTGTGTGCGTGAGGGGAAGGAAGCCCGCTCTCTTAGGACCTGTGCAAAACACCACTTAAAAGAAAACAACTGTAGCAGCTAAAATGTCCTTCCTCTGAATCTGAGCTAAAGATAAGCTCTTCTGAATTTATTAAATTCACTGAACCATCATAACTGCCCCACATGGTCTGGCAGAGTAACAATCCTTTGTTGAGCTTTGATGTTTAAAAGTGTTTTCAATAATCAGGTGTATCATTTTGGACGAACAAAATGAGCTGAAGACACAGCCCCTACTATTAATAATGGTAAGGTTATTAATAGTCAGTAAATAAAGGAGAAGTTACAAAAGTCAACATTTTTCCCCCCCAAATGTTAGAGTTGACTTTGTGCCTTACCTTAATGCGTGTATACAGTAAACCACTTTAGGCATGTTTTTACGATCATAGACGTCTGTCGTTTCAGGATAGAAAATCTGTGAAAACAAGAATACAGTGTATATTTAAGACTTCATCCTGTTCCTTCAGTTGTGTTGTCAAGAAATGTCAAAATGTAACAGTATTGATATGTTCATACTAAATTTAGATAATTCAAATAAACTCTGAAACCCTTTAACATTTGGTGCCAGACTAGTTATGTTATAGGTATTCTATACTTTTAGAAAAAGTAACATTTATATTTATTCATAGTAAGAAACCATCTTTTTGACTAGGGACAGAAACACATTAAAGTTGGGTCTATTTTTAGTCAAACCTAAATAACAATAACTTCCTGATGTCAGTTAATAGTACTTTTCTAGCATGGGCTGTGGCTGTAAGGAAAACTACAAGTAATTAGGTGTGACAACTGCCGCAGCGGCCTGAACATAACAGGAGTGTGTTTGTGGAACAGAGGGTGAGTTTGTGAGGGAAGGAGGGACGGGGGGGGGGGGGGACTCTCACCTTTGGGAGACCCACAGACTCCATGGCTCTCAACCACTGCACTGTATTGTCTGTGTGCCGAAAGTGAAGGCCTTTGCTCTGTTAAAAAAACACACTGTACCTTATTTCATGACTTAGAGTTTTGGTTGAAAGTTTACACATCCAGGCAGACGTTTTAGATTTTTTTGACCAGGGGTCTTCAACCTGTGGCTCGGGAGCTACCAGTAGCTTGATAGCCCCTTTCAGACAGCTCACCAAAGGATTTACGATTTAATACATGATCTTGAATTAATACATTTTAAGCCATTACATTTGTATTATAATTATAAATATAAAGTTATACAGTATCATGTTATATTTTTCATGCGTCATAATTTTTAGATAGATTTTACAACTGCAAAAAGGAGTAGCTCTCTGCCTCTTTTTATAAAAGTAGCTCTCTGAATGAAAAAGGTTGGTGATCGCTGGTTTAGACCATATTTTGGAGCTTAGGAATAAGGGTGATTTTTTTGTTTTTCTCCATTCAGTGTTAGCAGTCGTGTGAGCTGTCAAATAAATGTTTTCTATTAGATTGTGTAAGATTGCATGTGGATCAGGAGGACTCTGCACACCCGAGGAGGCGACAGTTATCTTTACGCAGTGCGTTAAGTTTTTTGGTTTTCCATTCAGTCCACACACGACAAGCAGGTATCCAACTTTAAAAAGGAAGAACTTTGGCCCACTGTTTCTGATGATCTATGTACAACATAGATCTGTTTCTTTGTTTTAATGAATTTGCAAATTATGACATAATTGAGCCGCTCTGGGGATCTCAAATGTGTAGTCAATGCAAGGGAGTCCAGGAATTGACAGGCTTTTTGCCAAGAAGAATGTGCAAAAAGATAAAGAACCTCACACAGAACTACCACAAAGACTCCAGGCTGTCATGGATGTTCAAGGGTAAAAACACACTATTGAGATCGGAGGATTGTTTACTTCAGATCAGCTTATGGTGTTATTGTTACATGAAAATAGAAAACGTGTTTGGTTTTGTATAATCATTCATCTGAAAATGTCTGGGGGGTGTAAACTTTCAAGCATAACTGTATTTGAGGCATTATAATAATACTGTATACTGTACATATTTTCACAACTATTCAATATTTTGTGAACAGTGAAACCAACTAAAATCAAAGTTCAAGCTTTGGGATTGTTTACTTCACTAAGGAACAGCTGCATCACACTGATGCCTCCCTGCTGCCTCCCTACTGTCACATATCTGGGACCAGACTTCCTGTGCGCTATGATGCAAGCTGTCCATGAACACAACACCACATCTGCATGCTACTCCTCAGCTGTAGGGACAAGTGCCAAAAAATAAATAGATATAAGCACTCGAGTAAAATCCACCTTAAAGCGAGACTGGTCTCTGTCATAGATTTTCTTCTCTGACACCAATTTAGGAGAAAAGAATGACGCTAGTTTGCCCAAGTATACTCCATTTCTCAATCCCTCTTCCAGCTCTGTGGTTGGTGGCAGGTCTTCATCCAGGCAGGCCTCAATCCATCTGAGAACACAAAGGCAAACAGCGTTTTAACCAGACGTAGGGAAGTACAATGTTGGGCATTTGGGTTATGAATACTTTTTAGTGAAGTTAATTATGAATGTATAGAAAGATTCAGGACACATTGGAGTAAAGAATATTTCACACTATTTCCATTAAGTAGATTCCAGGCTGCTCTGGTCGGAGACATTTGGAAATCGCTGCCAAAGAATTAGTGAATCATTGGTGAGCTCAAAGAATTGCCCCAGCTGACAATCTGTTACACATTATTTCTACACATGGGAACAACACTGGATTTAGATCTAGTCCAAACAAGCATTTAGATAATATGTTGTACTATAATAGTTCATGTCAAGCTGTGGCGGTTGTGTGTGTATACCATGTACATTTAACACGGCTGATGTGTTTATACTTAGGATTGCATTTTTGCGGATCAGTGCTTTCTTCAGGGATGAGCGTAATGGCACACTCCCCTGAGTTTCTGTATCGTCAGCGTGTGTAGTTTAATTAAAGAGCTGGTGTGATGTACGCGTCAGTATCACAACAAGCTGACATTTGACTTGAACAATTTCAAGTGGAAAGTGAAATAATGAGGAAAACATGAAGCGAAACATCCTGCCTGTTGAACAGTGGTGTTCTGTCAAAACGTAGCTTCCTGAGCTGAGGACAATGTGAGGTAAGGGTCTCCCCTGTTTACAGCCCTCTTCCTGCCTTTGTCCACAGAGACCCACCAGGACTTAGGGCTTTTCCGATACCAACAGAGTTGAAACACAAATATAGCCCAGGTATTTGCTGTGAGGGGCAGGCACACAGCTTCTTCACAGAGTTTGCGTCACGAAGCTTAGTCATGCTGGTCATGAGTTTACAATGAACATTGGGACATCAATAATCTAAAGCAAACGCGGAGCAGACGCTGTCTCACAGTTATAATACGGAGTCACCACAATCATTAGCAGCGAGGCCGCACTCTGAAACACAATGTTAAACTTAGACACTGGACTTTTGTCAGGACAAAGTCTCTTTGGAAACCACTGCATTTGGGCAACTGTGCGTGTGCATGTGTGTGCATGTGTGTGTGTGTGCGTGTGCGTGTGCATGTGCGTGCAAGTGTGTGCAAGTGTGTGTGCGTTCTTAGTGGTGCGACCAGCAGCTTGCAACACAACCACCAAACCACACTAATTATTTCAACAATCTAGTCTCTTCACAAACCACCAGTTAGTTAAAGTGGTGCAATGTTACAGCGATTTCTACCAATGTCCATCTAAGACTCTAAATCTCCCTGCAGACCCACACTCATTTACATGACAATCAGTATTTAAGTTGCAATTCTACCTAATATTTGTTTATCTAATATATTATTATTTATCAACCTCTCATCAACCTATAAAAATAGAAACAAAATAGGTATTTAAACTAGATACTATTTCAATGCGATCACAAACTGACTATTGTCTGGTATAATAAGACGAAATACCAAGAAGACAAAAGGAACCTTCCTAAAGTATCAACATGGAGTTATAATGTAGTATAGTGACAACACTAATTGTTAGTGAGTGATATTTGATGATAGGTAAAAGAGTCCAGACCAACAGTTGTTTCAGATAATGATTCCACAACTCGAACTTCACATACGGAGTGTTTAAGACTGTTTAAGTGGTTTGGCATCATTTCCCAGATGTAGTATTGACCTGGTGCCATGGCTCTGTGCTGCCAATGCCAACACTCTGTTGACAAGTTCAACTATGTCTTAATCCTAATCCTGCTGCTCAGAATAGAGACAGTGCAAACATCAGCCAGGTGAGGCAGAGCACGCTCCAGTGGAACCTGTTCGTTAATGCTGCAACCCAACTAAGACAAAAAATAATAATTGACTAAATCATCAAATCTATTTAACTAGTTCCTCATTCTCAAAACAGTTTGGCTCTATCGCTTGTTTTCATGTGTATCTTTATTTTTTCCCCAGATACATTTTAAGTTCTGCTTTCTCAGACACATTTGTGACAAAGAGGACCAATCAGGTCTTGGTCCAAAGCATCAAATAGTGACTCACAGGGCTCTCTAAAGTAGGGGTCTCAAACCGGTTCCAGAAAGGGCCATGTGGCTGCAGGTTTTACTTCCAACAGTTCCAAACTGAGCAGGAGACTCCACCCATTTCCTCAAATCTTCAGGTTAAAACTGGACTCACCTGAGGAAATGGGCGGAGTCTCCTGCTCAGTTTGGAACTGTTGGAAGTAAAACCTGCAGCCACATGGCCCTTTCTGGAGCCGGTTTGAGACCCCTGCTCTAAAGAGTGCAAAAGATTTGTTTTGGATAACTACAGCATGTTGTGGTCTAAATAAAATGTTACTACTTACAAAAGTTTGTCAGTTGGGACGAACAAAATGTGTAATTTATGGAGATAAAGCCCTGTTTAATTATACGTTAAATAAAAAGCATAATATAAAATAATGAGTTTTGACATCAATCAAGAAACAAACACAAAATGAACAACCATGTGCCGCCAACACGATGGCTACGTTTTTTCTCAACAGGAAGTGGTAAGTTTCAGGTTCACCAAAATGAATGACAATCCAGATAGAGAGACATAGAACAAATTGACTTGTGCTGATAGTGCCACTCTATTACTTTCACTTGGGGCTCCCAGGTCAGCTGAACCTGCATAATTACAAGGCAAACATAGTCTGTCTATAATATTTACACTAATCAAACAACACGCCTTTACACAGCAAACCGTTTGTCCTCATTTGTTACCGTTTGGCCTCCTCCAAGTGACACAGGTATTCATAGGCAATGTTCTGCCTCCGCCGCTCGTCCATCTCCTCCGCCGACAGTCTCTCATCGTCCTGAATGGCTAAAACACAAGTAAAGGTTATGAGCCTATGTGGATCAAAATGTTACAGTAAAACAAAAAGACACTCATTAACTCGGCAAAAAGTAACAAAATGATGCTTGTATAATTAAAAACACTTTTCTATTGTATCTACACACAGAAGGCTGGATGTGTGGGAAAGAATTTTGGCCTATTGCAACAGAGATAAGATCAAATAAAACTTAGATATCACACTAGAGAAATGTACATGTGATACTGTATGTGGCTGTTTAGCAATAAACCATAATATTGAAATGACCTCATGCAATCTCAAAATAACTTTGAAGCATACAAAGACTGAAAACTACAAAATAGCCAAAAGGTTAGTTGGTCAAACTTTAGTCTCTCCCTTACAACATGTACAAACAATAACTAATAAGCCCACAATAGAAACATTACATTGTCCCTGGTATTATTTATTGAATAGTAATTTTCACAGAAATATATATCATCATCATCATCATTATTATACCCACATTACCAACTCATAATAATAGTTTGTGGGTGGATTCAATATGAAAAAGGCCAACACGTTCACTCTTAAAGCAGATTTGCAAATAGAAAAAAAATAAAGCATACAATTTATTGTTTTACTCAAAATGATACTGCACTCAAAAAAGGCTGAAAGATGTGCTCTTTTGGTAAATATTAATTTAAACAAATATTGTTACTCATGGTAAAGAAGTGCAATCTAAAAGAAAAACATCACATTTTCCTTCCACACATTGAAATATCTTATTTTTTGTTATCCAATATATACAAAGCAAACACTAAAAACATATTTAACAGTGCGAAAGGCGATGAAGACACACGCGGCCTCATGTCCATGAGGGAATCCCTCCAGTTTAACACATTCTAATAATAGAAATTGAGAAATTCCAAAACAATCTTTTGATCTTTGGCGCAGCCCTCACTAAAATCAAGATCATTTCCCCCCAATCAAAGTAATTCGATCTAATTGTCATTTTAATATTGTTTACAAAGAACTTCAAACAGCCATTTTGATTTGATTGTGATTAATCTTGCATCCATGAGTGATAACAAGAGAACAAATTATTACATAAAATGTACATTTAAGATTCCTAAAAACCCAGAAAACTTCTTCTCCTCAGGTCCCAGAGTCCCATGTGTTACAACAGCAGCTCAGTGACTTGTGCTGAGTTGACCTTTACCTGCACTTTAATGAGATCTCCTCCCGCCCGCGCCTTCTCTGCCGCTATAATCCAATCAAATCTCTTTATTTCTGGCTGAGTGAAAGCTCCTCAGTCATAACAGAAGGTTTCCAACAGGTTTACAAACTTATAGAAAATGTGTTCAAAAAAATCCTTCAAACCAAAGCAGTACTACAATATTACATTTGCATATTTTTCAATCAATCAATCATTTATTTGTACAGCACAATTCGTGTACAAGGCAATTCAAAGTGCTTCACAAGAAAAATCAAAAAACACAGATCAAAAATGCATTCAAAAGTCAATAAGTATACAATTATTTAAATATTAAATATTAAGATAAAGCAGTTTAAAAGTATTGGGTTTAAAATACATTAAAAAGTGGGTTTAAAAAGAAAAAGAAAAAAGCCAATAAAAGTAATAAGTAATACGAAATAGAATCAGTCAGTTGTGTGCACAGCTAAAGAGATATGTTTTCAGCCTAGTTTTGAACATGGTCAGGGTAGTGGCCTGTGTCACAACCTCAGGAAGGCCATTCCATATCCTAGCTGCATAAATCTGAAACGCAGCCTCCCCATGTTTCGTCCTGACTCTGGACACCTGCCGAAGGCCAGTCCCTGTGCTCCTCAAAGTCCGAGCGGGTTCATATTGGACTAGCATGTCACAGATGTACCCTGGTGCAAGGCAATGGAGAGACTTGAACACAAGAAGAGCTACTTTGAAGTCTATTCTCTGAGCCACAGGAAGCCAGTGCAGAGACCTAAGGACTGGACTAATGTGGTGGTACTTCCTGGTTCTAGTCAGGACTTGAGCTGCTGCATTTTTCATTTTGTTTGTAAATAGCAAAGTCCAGCTAAACTTTAAGAACTACTTGATTGTTTGAATTGTAGAAATGGAGCTAAAAGATAAGACCCTCAAAGACACACAGTGTAAGCTCAAGATCCCAAAAAGGCCAGTGAATCTGGAATTGAATACATTTGACCAAAACAAAGCGAATGTGATGCCCCTGGAGAACACCCTCATGACCAGTTACAAACTTTGGGTTGTTGGATTAAAATACTTTGTGAATACATTGCATTTTATTCTGCAGTTAGTGATAAACCCCGTCAGCATGTTGTCTGTGTGAGGTTTTTAAAAAAATAAAAATAAAAACATATTACTTTTCTCAAACATATTCCCCTTGTCTGGCGCTCACATTGTCCCAGAGAAATCACTTCAGGCTCTGGCAATAGCAGAGACCATAAATTTCTGACACCCGCCTTAAAGTTGAGGTTGTGCAGTTTGTGTATTACTCACATAACATGCACACTTCCTGGAGTTTGTCTGAACTCATGAACTGATGATTTCCCCCCAGGATGAGTGTGATTAAAGACCTATGGATGATGTCTGGTGATTTTCTTATCGAGATCATATCAAATTAACTCCTATAGACTCTAGAGACACTGTGCTGACTGAGGTATACAGTTCTATTCCAACAGTAGGCCCATCACAGCCTTCACAATACAGACACTCTCAAGTCACTGATTGATCACAATGAGAGCAAAACCAATCACTTTATAAAAACAATGGCTGAAGTGTTAGACTCAGTTAAAAGGGTTACAGTGATGACACAATTGATTTGTCTTATCTTTAAGTGTACTTTGCCCCCAGTGGTGATCATGGGATGCCTCTGGTGAAATGAGGGAGGCTGTTTTAAACTTCAAATTAGTAAGTAGGACATTCATGCCATGTGTAGTTAGAGAAAGTATGCAGGTATAATAATAGCAACTCCTAATGTTAATGGTTAACTTGTGATAAGGTGCAAATGTGCTGGACAGACAGACTAAACTTGCAGAGTTGTTTGGATAAAGATATCATATTTTCATGTAGCAGATAAAACCTGCTGCTGGTGTTGTTTTCCTGGAATGCAGTGTTTAATTTCTAATCGCTCATGACCACAGGCTGAAAGTCTCAGTCTAAAGTTGTCCAATGGAGATCACCTGTTCCTCATCACATATCACACGGAGCTGGCGCCTCGACCGCTTTATTCCCATGGGACAGAAGCTCAAGACGTTTCCTTTACATGGATCCTTTTAGAGAATTGTTTTGAAAAGTTTGACACTTACTTCCATATCGTGGTTTTTGTAACCCTGTGGTATCTTCATGGAGCATTGTGCCTCCTGCTCAGCTTCACCAAACTCACGGAACAGCCCTCCGGGTCTCCGGGTCTCCGGCTCCAAACCACTGTAGTGTTTTGGTACAAAATGGCACAAAAGTCCTCCTAAAAGTGTTGGATCAATGGGCCAGCCCCATGGTGCGCGCTTCACGGACTTGTGAACTTCAGAAGCCTCACGTCCAGATGACGTTACTATGTCCCACGCGCACAGAGGATAAGCAGGTGGTGGAGAGCGCCACCTGCTGTCCCATGCGCACTACTACATCAGATACTGACTGCCCTGCTGGAATCATGAATTTACCTTTAAGTCGTGTTTGTTTCTCGTTCCTTCATTTGGTGTTCCCGGTCAAATTTGACCGGCCCGTTTTAACTGCTCTTACATTCGTTTTTTCCTATTGCTTGAACACTAAAGACTTAATAGTACTGCTTTGCACTTTCTCTTTCTGTAACACACTTTCTCTTTCTGTAACACACTTTCTCATTCTGCAACACACTTTCTCTTTCTGTTACACACTTTCTCATTCTGCAACACACTTTCTCTTTCTGTTACACACTTTCTCATTCTGCAACACACTTTCTCGTTCTGTAACACACTTTCTCATTCTGCAACACACTTTCTCTTTCTGTAACACACTTTCTCCTGCTCACTACACACTGTCATATATAAAACAATGTGTTCATAAATGCAATTCTGTGTTATCATTGGGAAAACACATCTATTCAAAATACCAAACACCTTGTGTGATTGAAAACACTGACTTGCACACGACACACATCAGCCAGACATAAACAGGCCTCAGTTTATACAATTTCAGAAATGTGCAAGTATCGAGGCAGAGCAGCAGGTAGAGGTGGAGGACGAGCATCTTTTGTGGATCATGTGATAATGAAATAAACCATGACCTCACACTGAGGGAAGCAGACAGTCCAGCCCCACCTCCATCATCAGGACCTTCAGATGGAAACATGTCTTCAACATGTACTGTAACTCTCTACTGCAGACTGCATTTACAGTATTTACAATACTGTACTGTATCACATGTAAAGAATTGCAAGTTGGCCATTGCTCCTTTCGAACAATGGTAGTTCTGTGAAACATATAATACAGTAAAGTACATAATACTGTCCCATTGAGATGTCACAGTACTGTGTACAGTATACAGTACTGTAAAAAAGAACTAAGCCTACAGTATACATTTGCGGTTGCATATTTATACAGAATGACTAGAAGACCTTCTCGAGGTGCTCCACAGCTGTTCACCAACAGCAGGAACTGGTCTCTGCGGAGACAGTCGGAGCAGGGACTATGATCCATAATCCACACACGCACAAATGCATAGTTTTACATTAGAGGTTTTTTTGTGTACTGCATTGACACAAATGCAGTAAATACTTTAGTAGGGTGATGTAAAGTATTGAGTTGATATTATTTGTAACCTTTCAGTACTTCCTGGTTGTTGATAAACCTTTGTTGAGAACAAAATCAGTTCCATTGAGCTTCACAGAACAAAACAGTACAGTACTGTAGTGTGTTGCTTCCAATCTGAAAGTGTGTTCACATGATGCAAGTGTGTGTCATTTTGTCCCAAGAGTTTCATTTTGTTTAGTTTTGAGAGCAGAGTTTGAGTTTTGATAAAGGTTTCATTTTGAGACAGAGGTGAATGGTTTATGTCCCAGTGTTGTCTTGTGTGTAGAGTTTTGGGACAATGAGCGAAATTTTGCAAAATGCGTTCAAGCAAAAGGAAAGAAGTGTAACACAAAACCCTTGATCATGACCAAATTGTATTCAACTACTTTTATGCTGTGAACATGTCTCAGACTACTGGTGTACATGAATAACTGCAGTGAATAGACACAGAAATTGTCACATACAATTCCAAAGTGTGTGTGTCTGTGTGTGTGTTGTCTGGATAAATATAATCTGATTACACATACACCTTTCCAATGGTGGTCACTTTTGACCGGAACACTACAGATGTAACTGGGTTCACTAAAACACTCAAAATTCAAGTAAAGTGATGCTCTTCTCTTTTGTATGTTCAGGTGCACAGTGCGGAGGATATCATAGAGTCTTGGGGCTATGAGATGTAAAAAAATATTTATGAATCGGTTTAATTTGACCCGACCACGACTCAAACGTTAAGATTTTAAAAGTAACTTTTTTTTATTAAGATATCCGGTAGATTATATAAATTGTATTAACTTGTTGCAACTTTACTTGTTTTGTTTATAAAACATATACAAAACGACACTCTATGTAATAGTAACCTGTAGTAATAGTAATCTGAGGGGTACTTAAACAAAACAAAGTTTGAAACCAATAAACACTGAATATCAGGTTGTATGACTGTACAACCGCATCAACCCGTTTTTAGCCACGAGATGGCGTCATAAACATCTCCATCGTGGTTTAGCGATTTATTGTAATAAATTGCATTTCTCGTGATTTGATAGAGAACTTTATTTAGATGTCCAGTAGCACAGTCTGAAACACCCTGTTTTATCTTTTTTGGTTGCCTGGAAAGTCCAAAATAATCTCTATAAAAATACAGAGGTATCATTCTGGACTTTATAGGTTAATACTTTATCTTTTTTGGCAATTCACTCACTCAACAAGCCAACACACAACATGGTTTTCTATTGACAGGCCCTGCACAGATAACATTATTCTCCACATACACTTAAATAACTTTATATAATGACTGGTCAGAAACAAGAATGGTACATTCACATTTTTGTCAAGAAAATGAAATATTGCCATTTGAATTTACACCAAAACACAAAGCTGAGCACAAATGAACAGGGTATTTTCTTACACACATGCAAGATCGAGCTCACTCCCACGCAGAGAAAAGCAGGTGAAATCAGGAGAGCACACACAGACGTACAACATGGATACATACAGATAACTGCCTGGACAAACATGACGTTTAGTTAAAGTCGATGTCAGATTTCAGGCCATTATTTACACCATGAATGAGTTGAATACACAAGCCAGTACTTGCGTCACAATATGATTTACAGTTTACTTTTATATTTTTAGGACACGCACTCTCAGATCCACACGAAATGTACGTTTTGTAATAAACATAAATGAACAGCAAAACAAAAAAAGACTTTATACACTTCAATGAATCGATCTGACAAAATCTTTTGGACTTAATGTAAATAGTTCATACTAGAATTGCTCATTTTGTTGAGAATCAAAAAATATCTAACTATTGTCAAAAAATATCTAACTATTGTCAAAAAATATCTTATTTGCAGTTGCACATTCTATTTACTTCATCAGTTTCAAACAAATTCTGAAGATTTTACACTAAGATAAAAATGAAAATGAAAAATGGTTTGGACCTAATTGTGGCCCTAATGTTAGTGTTTAGCTGCTTATTGAAGCCATGTTCAATTTTACTTAATATGAATACGAACGAAATGACAAAATAAATGAACACACTGTTTTGTGAGGTATTTGTAGCTGACATTTTTCATGTTTACTATATATCTAGGACTACACACCATTTTCTAATGCATTATGGCAAAACCTCACTGGGGAAAATACTTAAAACATTTGGCACCTGTCTTTACATAAAAAATATATTAGGTTTATCAAAATATGGCTATGTTCAACATAAGAATAATCACACCCAAACATGACTGCACTAACCCCATATTTTACACATAGACACCTAACACTGTTCTCGGTCTACGCTTGTGTCCTGTTAAGTCCAGGCTGCTCCACTAGAGTAGAGGCACATTTAAGAAAGGCCATTCAGTATTATGAAAGAACGCAGCATGGCATGTAGTCATCACCGCCTCAAGCAAGACAACACAAAGCCTAGCCAGAGGAAGAGCTCGCCATGGAGGTCTTTACGTTTTTACCACACATGGAAAGAACCATTAAACAAATTAAAGAAAAGCAATGAAATACTGTTACTATTTCTATTGCCATATGGCCTTTGGATTGCAAAAGCCTTGGGAACTTTGCTGTGGAGAGATAATGGGTGTGACCATAGACTTTTTAATGACACACATTTTCAAAAGCTTTATGTTGTACAGTGGAAGGACTGAGAGACCGCAGAAACACGTAGATAGTGACTGTAGCGTGACGTCCTGAAGTCCTGTGTGGTTTTGTATCCAGCTGACAACATCTGTTTTGTGAGTTTCTCTGTCTGATCTTCTATTCCCTACACCAGACTGGCACTGCTCATTAAAGCGTGTTTTGACATTTCCTCCACATCTGGCTTGTCCCAATAACCACCACTATTAACAAGAGATCGGGCGATATTCTATGTTTTTGAAATATCAGCCTTGACTTATTCCCATCCGCACGACATTCTACCAGGTAATTTCCTGAGTAAAATAACCAAATAATGTATTTTACTCTGAACCATTAAACCAAAATACAGTTAATAATCATTGATAAAACTAAAAACTGTTTATCCATCTACAGTTTCAACAACCTTTACCTTCAGTCCATTTTTTCCCCAACTAAGTCTATCTTAGTACTCATATTGGTCAGAAAAAAAGCCCATGATTTAATCTCCTTTTTACATATTCCATCAATAACCATAAAGGCCATTTAAAATGAAATCAGCTCTCTGTCAGTCAACCTTTGAAAAAAAGTTTGATATCTAATATAATAAAAGAATCAAGTTTTTAATAATATATGTTCGAATCAAATATGTCTTATATCAATATCTTTCTGCCACAATTTTGAATGAACAAAATTGCAACATCGTTCCAAGACAGTTGCAATCCATCCATTTTTGTTTTCTCTGCATATTTTAGAGACAATTTGAAGATGTTACATGAGAACATTTGCCCTGGTGTCCGGTAGCCTCAGAGCCACAAGGCCTCCGCCGACCAGGACCGTGGACGCCATGAGGATGGGGATGGCTTTGGTGATTCCGACCAGAGATCCGAAGATTAGGTTACCCATCACTGCTGCAAACTTACACAGAGCATTGCAGAAGCCAAAACCTGTTCCTCTGCAAAGACAAATAAAGAAGAGAGAAATTGAATTACAGTAATAAGATAAACTAGCGATTCACAACATCAGTAAGTAAATGGGCGGCTGAGTGGAAAGCACTCTCGCTTCTCAGAAAGAAGGTCCTGGGTTGAATCCAGGGCCTTTCTGAGTGGACTTTGTATGTTCTCCCTGTGTCTGCGTAGGTTTGCTCCGGGTGCTCCGGTTTCAACTACCACAAACAACAGGCACAATAGGTCTGGCATGCACCTACTGTATCGCGACCTTGCTCAGATGACTTACTTACTAAAAACTAGGAATATAAATGAGCACTAAAAGAATAAGCTTTCAATAATGTGAGTAATTGTTTGTGTCCATGCATTGAGATGGACAAAGTATTTTTATTAGGGCAAATATTCTTCTGTGTATTTTGGCTTTGGGCGAAAAACACACATAATCAAACTACAGTTAACACACATTGTGAGGTAGCCCAGTTTTAAAGCAGGGGTGCACAACTGGTTCCTGGTTATTTGTCTTCTATTTTTGTATGTTTTATTTCTTATTTTCTTATTCTTTTTTTTTTTAATTCTTTTTGTATGTTTCATTGTTTTTATTTATTTATTTATTTAACTGGGACAGTACATGTCAATGAACATTTGTTTGTGATATAGTTATTTCATAAAATGTATCTGTTGAACCTTACGGGGGTGTGCACATCCATTTTAAAAGCTTAGTCAGTACATTAAACAGTTGAGTGAGTCACTACATTTGTAAAAAAAAAAAAAAGCACCTCCATTTTAGTGAGTAATGCCCTCCTCTGTTTTATATTATTGTTTTTATACATTTCCAACATTTCCAACATGCATGAGAACAACAGCAACAAAGATTGAATTCTAATTGAATCTAGATCTATCTCTTTACCCCTTCCTTTAGTTCTTTACAGAATCACACCATCACATCATAACTAAAAGTACCTTCTGGCAGTGGGAAAGGATTCTGTCGTCACCACATCCAGGGAGTTCCAGGCAGAGATACTGAGGCCGTTGTAAAGACACAGCATAAAGATCATCATGGACTCACTGGTGCCAAACCACAGGAAGAAACAGCTGATTCCCGACAGAACCATGGATCCACCTAAAAATAAAAAAACAGCAAACAATAAGCTCCAAAGCAATATCATGCCGCAGCGGTTCGATTTAAAACAGCATTGTTAATAACGCAGCCCTTTGTACATCTACAGTGCCTTGCAAAAGTATTCGGCCCCCTTGAACCTTTCAACATTTCGCCACATTTCAGGCTTCAAACATAAAGATATAAAATTTTAATTTTTTGTCATGAATCAACAACAAGTGGGACACAATCGTGAAGTGGAACAAAATTTATTGGATAATTTAAACTTTTTTAACAAATAAAAAACTGAAAAGTGGGGCGTGCAATATTATTCGGCCCCTTTACTTTCAGTGCAGCAAACTCAGTCCAGAAGTTCAGTGAGGATCTTTGAATGATCCAATGTTGTCCTAAATGACTGATGATGATAAATAGAATGCACCTGTGTGTAATCAAGTCTCCGTATAAATACACCTGCTCTTTGATAGTCTCAGGGTTCTGTTTAAAGCGCAGAGAGAACCATGAAGACAAAGGAACACACCAGGCAGGTCCGAGATACTGTTGTGGAGAAGTTTGAAGCCGGATTTGGATACAAAAAGATTTCCCAAGCTTCAAACATCTCAAGGAGCACTGTGCAAGCAATTATATTGAAATGGAAGGAGTATCAGACCACTGCAAATCTACCAAGACCCGGCCGTCCCTCCAAACTTTCATCTCAAACAAGAAGAAGACTGATCAGAGATGCAGCCAAGAGGCCCATGATCACTCTGGATGACCTGCAGATAACTACAGCTGAGGTGGGAGAGTCTGTCCATAGGACAACAATCAGTCGTGCACTGCACAAATCTGGCCTTTATGGAAGAGTGTCCATTTCTCAAAGATATCCATAAAAAGTCTCTTAAAGTTTGCCACAAGCCACCTGGGAGACACACCAAACATGTGGAAGAAGGTGCTCTGGTCAGATGAAACCAAAATCAAACTTTTTGGCCACAATGCAAAACGATATGTTTGGCATAAAAGCAACACAGCTCATCACCCTGAACACACCATCCCCACCTCAGCTGTAGTTATCTGCAGTTCATCCAGAGTGATCATGGGCCTCTTGGCTGCATCTCTGATCAGTCTTCTCCTTGTTTGAGATGAAAGTTTGGAGGGACGGCCGGGTCTTGGTAGATTTGCAGTGGTCTGATACTCTTTCCATTTCAATATAATTGCTTGCACAGTGCTCCTTGAGATGTTTGAAGCTTGGGAAATCTTTTTGTATCCAAATCCGGCATTAAACTTCTCCACAACAGTATCTCGGACCTGCCTGGTGTGTTCCTTTGTCTTCATGGTTCTCTCTGCGCTTTAAACAGAACCCTGAGACTATCAAAGAGCAAGTGCATTTATACGGAGACTTGATTACACACAGGAGCATTCTATTTATCATCATCAGTCATTTAGGACAACATTGGATCATTCAAAGATCCTCACTGAACTTGTGGACTGAGTTTTCTGCACTGAACGTAAAGGGGCCGAATAATATTGCACGCCCCACTTTTCAGTTTTTTATTTGTAAAAAAAGTTTAAATTATTCAACAAATTTCGTTGCCACTTCACGATTGTGTCCCACTTGTTGTTGATTCATGACAAAAAATTAAAATTTTATATCTTTATGTTTGAAGCCTGAAATGTGGCGAAATGTTGAAAGGTTCAAGGGGGCCGAATACTTTCGCAAGGCACTGTATGATATATATACATGCAGCACACATCCAAAGCAAGTCAATGAGAAATCCAATTACCTAAGTGCTGAGACCTATAAGGCATATTTTACCTAACATAGACAGACGACCAATTTTGTCCATGAGAAGGGCGGAGACGATGTTGCCAGGCAGAACAGCCAGTGTGCCGAGGAAGTTAATGAAATAAACCCAGTATGCGCTGTAGTCATCATCGAATGTCATCTGGCAACCGGTTTTGTTGTGAGCGAATGTGCTGTTGATCACCTCCGTCCCATCTATCAACTTGGACTCATCGATATCTGGCCCAAGACAGGAAATATTAGTCATTTGTCAGAGCGCCGTCCAGAAAACAACAATACAAGTAAAGCACCTTTAGAAGCGTGTTTTGAAATGACCTGTTTTCTATTCAAATGTATGGATTTACCTGTGTTGTAGAAAAACGTATCAATAAAAGTGCAGTTGCGGAAATAGGACCCGACTGTTGAGACGTCCTCAAAGAAGCAGTTGCGAAATGTTGAATCCACAAAGAATACAGACCTCAGCTTCATGTTAAGAAATCTGTAAAATACATAAATACGATAAATATGAGAAGATACAATTTCACGTTTATTGTTTATTGTACCTGTCACTGATGAAGACGCCGTTTTTGTGAATCTGATTCTCTAAAGTAAAGTTGAACGTGAAGTCCTCGATGCGTTCGTTGGTGTGGACTTTTACTTTGGAGGCGTAATCATCGGCCTGCAGATGTTTTATCACATCCGGGAACCACACTGACAAACCATAATAGCTGAAAAAGGCCACACAAAACACCACTTAAAATTGTGTGGCTGAAATTTAAAGCATTAGTGAGTCACAAAACAGCTTTGTAGTATTTCCACTGCAGAGATCAAAAGGACAGCTGTCAAGAGCTGTCAGAATAAGTTTTGTATATTTGTATATGAATGATCAAAGCTCACCCAAAAGACAACGTGAGCCACACAATGGTCAGCCTCATCATGTTTTCTCGCATCGGATAGTTGAAGCACTTCAGAAGGTTCACCCAAATCTAATTAAGACAGAAAAGCTTAAGCCTAGCGTACATCGACAGAGAAACTGGAGACAACTAGTTGCAAGGCGGCTTTTGGCAACTGAGAGTACAGTAGATGATGGGAGATGATCTGTTGCCGAAATCGGTCGATGTGAGCGCTCTTACAACTGGAGATAAACAGTCGATCTCTGGATTCAGTCAGTTGCCCGTGTTCTACTTTTCGGCAACTAATTGTACTCAGATCCGGAGATATGACCCGATGTGCGCGCTCCAACAACATGTGTTGAGAGTGTTATCATGTGACGTATTGCGCGCCCTCTACAGTTCATGTCAGAAAACACACTGTAGTTGAGGCCAGTTGCTGTCGATGTACGCGCTGTTATTCCCAAGACTGGTCTGCTACTGGGAGTTGCCCGTTTTCGTCAGAATGTCTATGTGTGCGGGGCAGCAACTCATTGGCGACGGATATAATCAGGTGCCAGTTCGATGTACGCTAGGCATTAAAATCTTCTAAATATGAGTCAGGGGTCTACATTCAACATTGAAAGAAGACATTTCACCATGTAATGTTATCAACAGCTTAACGTACAGTTGGTGAATACAAAAAAGTGTTGTACCCCTTGGATTTCAGATTTCATCCTGAAGAAGGCTTTAGAAACTCGATTGCTGGACTCGGACTCCATTTCCACCAGTTCATCAAGTTGTTTGGGAATCTTAATTCTGTTTACCTGCACATCAGAAGAGTTATTGTTTATGTTGAATGCAAAATTCCGGTAAAAAAAATAAATAATAATATCATTATAAACACATTGCTGCTGAAATCACTGCATAACATGTCAACTGCTACCTCATGTGGACCTTAGTATTGAGACTAGTGGAAATGTGGTAATTTAAAGCATGTATCTTTACTAAGAGGCTTTCCCAAAGTTCAGCTCATGCAGCAAATAAGCCTGAATGACGCCAAATGCTTTCAAAAATGTGTTTCCGATGCGATCCTGCAAAGAGAAGTGGTTCAAACCTGTCGCAGCGGTGGCAGAATGTAAGCCTCTTATTTAAGCAGCAGAAAGAAGTGTGGACTCACGGTGAAGACTTTCTCCGGCTGCCCACGCGCTCTCATGTTGGTGTCGTGGATCTGTTTGAGGATCATCCAGGCCTCGTCGTGCTTCCCCACCTGACAGACACAAAACCAAGTGCAGGATCAGCACCAGACGCTGACTTGTCTTCAATGAGACGCCATGATGGGTTAAAACACCAAACATTCACTTCAAAGGAGAATACTCTTTCAAAAGCAAATCTTCTGTCACATTCCAAGCTTGCATTTTAGTCACAAATGCAGGTGACTACCATATGTTTGCTCAAAGGCATTGACTTGTATTTTTGACTATTTAGAATCTAACTATTCCACACATAGAGCAAAAAATGCACTCGTTCAAAATACTGATGTAAAATTATTTAATACAAACATGTTTATTGATTCTCTGCTCAAATCGACCAGCCTCCTCATCTTTCTTTAAAAGTCCCATATTATGCTTTTGGAATTGTCTGTGATTTTAACATAATTACAGTGCTTTTTTTTCTTCATACAATTACCCAGAGTAGTTTTTTCATTGATTCCCTCCAGCTTTAGTTAGAGAGCGATCTATTTGTATCATTGTCTAAAGGCAGCAAAAAGTCTCGGTTCAAATCTTTTCATCTAAACGCCCCACTTCACTAAAGCTACCACAGTTAACTAAATAAACACATGGCCATTGATGGAAACAAAGTATATTCTGAGGTTTGATGTGCTGCTACTGTATGTACATTGTTGTTATATGCAGGTGTCTTTATTGCTTGTCCATCATGTCTGTGTTGGATAAACAAATAACCCTTCTACATTTCAGATTCAAGAAGCTCCGCAAAAAGAGAGCATACAGTGAACATGTGTGTGCGGACAGTGATATGATGTGAAGGGGCAGTTCACCTCGAGGTAAAACCTGGGGCTTTCGGGCATGAAGGTAAGTGCCACCACAGCACACACACACGGCAGCGCACACACCACCACAAACACTCTCCAACTGTGGAACTGGTACGCTGAGCCCATGCTGAAACTCCAGCCTGCAACACACAAACACACAAACAAATTGTGTGGCATAAATTGTTGCTGAACACCATCCATTCACTCATTCATTACATTCATAACTATTGTGAATGTTTTTAGTAGTAGGGGAAACCGGAGGAATCCTACTCAGACACGGGGAGAACACGCAAACTCCACCCATAAAGACCCTGTGCTGACTGGGATTCAAACCCAGGACCTTCATGCTGAGAAGCCACCGTGTCGCAGCTTTATTGTGTCTATCATATTTACAGTATAAGAATGCTTTTGGAATATGTATCAATCATGCAACATCTTGTTTTCTGTGAGCATTGGATTATCACAAATGCTCAACTGCATCAGCACAAGTCATTTCATTATCATTTCCTGTGTTGGCGTCTCGAAACAAAATAAAACCAAGACAATGAAAAATGTGCGGTAAGGGACTGAATATTCATCGGAATGAATAGAATGAGTGAGTAGCTTCTATCTGCATCCACATACGTACATTACTAATATAAGTATGGCTTTTCCCTATGGCTTTTCCTCTTAAATACATCTGCGGACCGTGTCTCAACTGAATCCGGGTTCTGTGGCTACATGCCGTACGTAAATGGAGTATGTTTGATCCAGTGATGTCAAACAGACTGGATTTTCACACTGTTTTGTATCACACATGTTTTCATGCGTCTTGCTCAATAAATTAAATTGGACGTGGCAAATCATCTGTTTTTCTGATTTTTAAGGTGCTGATTTTAATATCACACACCCACACTTTAGAATAACATTCTAACAACATCTATGTTACTGACACCTGTGTATTCGAATGTAAATGTCGCACTTGATAAGCAACATTCAATTTCCTTAGGCTTTAAAGTTTGTGCAGTATTTGTATTCACCTCTTTAATTGATTTAGCTAAAATACTATTTACAGCCAGATACTGAGACTGACTGCAGCTTTTAACTGAAATACTGAATTTCAAACACAATCAAAAAAACTATCAGCAAATAAAGGAAAGCATTTGAAAAGGAGCAGTCCGAGCCCCGGAGAGTTATGCGTGAGATGAATGGTTGTGTGGAGTGGTGCACAGGGACGGGTTAATTGAATGTGTAGGAAAGCAATTGAGTGTTTTCTGCTAAGTTAAATCTTGTTGCACCTGATCTCAGCCCGAAGGCTCTCTTCGAGACTCATTAATCATTGTAACACTCACGCACATATACACACACCTGGCACCAAGACTGTGAGTTATACTCTAAATAACAAGGGAAAAGTCATACGCCCAAACCAGAAGGGAAAATTGCATTGTCAATGAAAACTTCAGATGAAATGATGACAATAATACACACTAACTTGGTATAAATGAGAATATATGAGCTTTACTCCATCATCGTTCGGCGAGACATTCAGAAACATTGAACATCGCAAACACATTTTGGTAGAAGTGAATAAAAGGGTGTAGTGTCGTCATGACAGATCTCTCACTGCGAAGGGATTAACACGTGCAATCCATCATCAGCGATGGAAGAGTCGTGCTGGAGGAGGATAGGAGGGGGTTAATAGTTATGACAGAAAATATGGTGCTTGTGGTAACCTTATAGCACACATGCTGTAAGATTAATTGAATATTCAAATCCATCTTTTATGGTATTATGTATAAAAAACAATTTTCAAACGGAGGTGGGCGTGAGTGGCACAAACAAGCCACTAGAGGCCTGATAGATGAGGCGCCATGAAATCAATGATCATGAACGAAAAACGTGTTGAAATATTTTTTTCCCCAACACCCAGTGCTGACGATTTCACCCACGCAGATCAAAAGCATACAATAGTTAGTACATATTGTATGCACAGAATGAAATGCAAAGAGAACATAACCATCCTGGTGCAGGGAGAGAATATGTGTTATATTTGATTTCACTGAAGGAAGAGACACTATAATATGAAAACAATCTTACTGCAGTTAATTATAAAGAGCATGGTACTTGACATTCTACTTTATCCACAGACACGTATGTGTGTGTGTGTTCTCTCATTTGACCTCGGTGTCAGATAGTGTTGCCTTCAATCTCCCCTGAAGAAGACCTGTGTGCAGTCACAGCACAGTTTAACAGCAGCACACTGCCCTCGCACTGACGTCACAGCTTGGCTAAAGCAGGGTCTGGCCATAAATCACCTCTAGCTGTAGCTTTGTCCTATTAGAGCAAGGAGAAAAACCTAATTATGCTTGATCAAGAAGAATACTCTGCAGAGACACAGAATGGAGAGAGGAGGTAATAAAAGGAAGGACAGAGTCAGACGAGAGATGAGGAGAGTACAAAACAGAGGGGCGGCTCCTCGGAGGGACAGCAGGTCCACACACATCACTTTAAACCACGTCCCAGTTACACAACTGTGACGTTAAACAAGTCTGGCTCCTCCACCTTTACCTTAAAATGCTTTTTTATCTCTTTAACCTCTGCCTCTTGCTGCTCACATTAGTGATCAGGTCTGATAGCAAGGAACAGTTTCCACTGAGTCATATCCACGAGCTGTGTCAGGACCTCAACAACTATGACATTTACAAGAAAAACCCATGATGAGGAATAGTGCCCACGTTTCTAATAATAATTTCAGCCATAGCAGTAGGTTTGCTGTAACGTTCTGTGTGTTGCACTCACCATAGTGGGGAATGATAGCCCACGCCATGGCTGAAGCATAAATCTCTCCAATCATCCAGAACATGCACAGCCAGCTGAGATGTTCACCCCTTTTCTCCCTGGACAAGACCTCAGCAAAAAAGGAGAATACGATGGGAACAGCCCCTCCGATTCTGAAATGAAAATAGGAAAGTTTATGTAAGGTCACAATAGCTTTGGAAACTGTAAAATGACAAAGCCTTTAGTAGATGCATCCACTAAAATTTGTACAACGAAGCATATTTTTCTGCTAACAGCACATAAAAGGTGTGGTGTCACTGCTCTCATGATTCAGAAGGTCTCATTGGCAGCTTGGGTAGCCTTTTCAATTACTCTGCAGGTCTCTGGGGAGGATGATAGCGGAAGCAATTACTAAATTAGCCCTTAAAGGAACAGTTACATCACAAACACAATGGAGAGTGCAATAAATCAAAGATATTTACTGCCCACAAAACATGATTTTACTTTACTGAACAATGAAAAACAGTTCCTAAGGATTGCTATTTTTAGATCGCAAAATATTAGAACTTTGAAATGATGCAACCTCTTACCCAAAGCCAGCAATGAGGCGACACAGGAGGAACAGGCCGTATCCTTGGACAAACGAGGACAGGAAAGCAAAGAACCCATTGGTCGACATACAGATGAGGAGGCACTGTCTGCGGCCCACTTTGTCTGACATCCCGCCCCAGAAAAACGCTCCGACCATCATTCCCAAGTACACAACACTGCCTGGAAAATAACACAGGAGAGATAGAGAATAATGTGATAACAAATGTAATGTTATTTACACAAATGTGCAATCACAGTAAATAATCATTGAATGTAAAACTGTGGTGCATAACCAAGGTGTGTAATTGGTAACGATCAATATTCTGTGTTGGAAAGAGCATTGAAAGATGGAACTCAAAAAGAAAATGGGTAGTACTGCTATTCATATGTACTTAATCATGTATGTATTGTTGTTCGGTTTTTTTTTTTTACAAAACACACAGGTCCAGGACAACAATCATAAAATGCCAAATGGATTTATATATACAATCTGCACATAAAAAACTCAAATAAATGTATTTCATGTCTTACTATATGAAATAATTTCAAGTAGAAATAGTAGATGTGTAGATATTAGCTTGTATGGAAATTATACAATATGAGGTAAGAAAAATTGTATCACACTTTATATGTTGCTGCTAAATACTGTACAGTAAATTTGATTTGGACCTTATACCAGTATTTTGAACGTTCTCCATTTGCCGCTAAATTTTAATTATATTGTATCTTGTACATTGTGACTTGTGACTGTAACTACGTTGGTAATTTGAACTGTATTTCAATATGTATGTTGTATGATTGTATTGTCAAGAACTATAGATGGAAAGTAGCATGGTGCTAAATCTTTTAGATTTTATGTAACTGCACATTTTCCTTAATAAATCAACTTTTTTTAAAGATAAAAAATTATATAATTGCTTGAATCGAGTGTTTTTTTTAGAACATTCTGTCTTAAAACAACTATTTCAAGAACTGTTGCAAGGGAGATATTTCTTATATATTTCGCTAGTCCCATTGTAAAAGCAGTCTAAATGTGTTCCAATTAAGATACATTTAGCCAAATTTTAGAAATTTTTGACTTATTTTTCATCACTTTTTGCAAAGATGATGGTGCAATGATGTAACATGTTGAACATCTTCAAAATGTTAATTTGAACAGGATGAATCATTTAGATAAATTTCAAGAGTGAATGTTAAACTGCAATCCACATTTTCACAGGTATTTAATATGCTATAACTAAATTGATTTACAAAGTAAACACTGTTGCTTTGCCAAGTAGTTATTTCTCAAGTTATTTTGAGCAAATTCAATAATGGCAAATGTTTTATAGACATCTCAGGCTCACAATACTATTGGCTTGAAATTTATATTTTATTTAAAAAAAATTGTCCCTGATGGCTTTAAACTGATGTTTTATTATGTGATGTTTATCAGCAAATACTAACAAGGGGCAACAACAATCATGTTTTTCAAAGTTGTTTTTGAACAATAAAAAACATATTTGCAAAAAAAGATACATACATTTTCTGAAGACAAAATGTATGTAGACACGGAGACATACCCACCTCAGAAATGTACCTTGGCAAAAACAAAGGAAAAGAGTTGTTGGTCATTAGTAGAGCATGTTAGTTAACTGAATTTAGAGAGTTTATTTAAGGCTTGATAATGAAGTTCGGATGCAGTTTTTGAGTGGGCCCCAGTGACATATTAGTAAATAGTGAATGGCTAAAACAGGCTGCGATCAATGAGGAGACAAATGCGCACTGTAATGCCGGCTGACTTTACAAGAGCCACTCTGCGCAGCTAGAGTACTCTCCCCTGTCACAAACGGGATCAATGCTCCAACAAAATAGCATCGATTTCCCTCACGGATCATTGTGATGGTGCCCTGGAGAAAGAAGCCAATTATTACTACTTTATAGGCTCCTCATAGAGATACAGCAACTGTCCTGTTTGATGCTAAGAGACGACAAAGCAGCAAATAATGTGATCAACTAAAAGAATGTAAAAAAATAAATAAATAATGGCATCCTGGCACTGGAAGGATGAATGAAGAGGATACATGTTCATTCTTCCAGCGGACATGATTCATATATATTTACAATTATATTTACAAAATCATCTACTCAAGATGGAGAGGGAAGACAAAAAACAGACTCCCACCCACATAATCATTGAACATTAAAGAATATCAATAGTTGCAGTGAAGCCAGCTTGGTTTTACATATCAATGAAGCAAAGACTAAAACAATGTGTTGCAGCGAGGCCCAGCGTCCCCAACTGAGGCCAGTCCCAGACGCAACCTCCACCTACCACAACAGTGGACCAGCTACGACAGACCAGAAAACAACAGACTCCAGCAGCACCATGAGCTACCATTTCATTAAATACCCTTATCATCATATTATTATTATAAAACATGTGAAAGGGAGGACAACACATTTCTTCAATTCTGCACCTTTTGGGTTGAGAAAGCTGTAGCACTCCCTGTATTCTTGAATGAAGCCAATTTTCACCATGTTACCACCTTCAGAAGAGACCATTTGTCAGTCCCATTATTTGTAATACTATTTCAATTTATTTCTGTGTTCATCCCACTCCAATCTAATCAATGAGGTCATGACTGGCAAAGCTTCTATGGAACATCACCATAACGCAGGTCAGCCATCCTTCCACACCATCATCCGCTACTCACCAATCACGACTATGGACCCGCCCGAGAGAGTGTGCCACACCTGCCACTGCCACACCCAGTACTCATAAAACTAACAAATTATTATTAGGATTACTACTACTATTATTCTTAGTATTATCAATATTATTGTTTTTGTTATCATTCCATCTTGCATTTTGTCCAGATCATCTTTTTGAAATGTGATTGGACATTGACACTTGACTAATGACAGGCTGTTCTGGAGCTTCACCCACAGACAGATACACACCAACTCCTCCCTGTTGTTGTCACTGCTGGAAGTATAAAGTTACTCAAGTTATACTTTTTCTCTTTTTAATAATAGCTTTTTAAAAATGGTAGGTAAAGTTTGTGCATTGACTTGACAGCAACTGTGCAGTGTTTAGTTTTAGCAGGTATTGCAATTTCAAGAGTTTGCGATTCAAATATCAAGTATTGGTGTGCTCAAGACAGCTGTCCTTGTTAATACTTGTTTTTGCACATTGCTGTAGTATTTTGAGATGATGTACTAGATTTCGGAAGTTGTTTCCCCAAACCTCATCACCATATGTGAAGGGAAAACATTTTTGATGGCTCGTGGTTTCCAGACACATTCCACATTGGCTGTTCATTCATAAATACGTTGGTTCCATGTAATTTTTAATCCTTTAGGAGGACTATCTTGTGCCTTCTGTTGACAAAGCACAGGTTGTGTATTCCTCCTTTAGGAGAACATACGTATGACACACCTCGATGCTGTCGCAGGCCGTGGCGATGCCTTTGGACTCCTGGAACGAGACTTTACGTTCCCCTCCGCTGTAATCAGGGGCCACAGTGCGGGCATAGGAGTGAGGTTTGATGTGAATCCCCGTGACAATCACGTCCTTCATCATTATGTATAGCTCCAGGTCCACCACCCTGCTTTCCAACTGTGAGATTTGCCTGTCCTTTTCGTGTTTACTTCCTCAATCAGCTGCAAAAGATTTCCCAGGTTCTTGATCTCAGAAACATTTGCTATGAGGGCATTAACCGACTGTTTAAGGCCTGGCACTTCCTCAGGGAATGGATTTAGTTCAAACTAAACTTAAATTACCTTGACCATTTCTTAAGCTGGCAAACTATGTCTGTAACCTGTTTTGGGGAGCAAATGTTTGATGCTAAATTAAGAAGCCAGACTCTCTGTTAAAATTGATTTTATGATAAAAGTAAATCAATATTGTTGCAGCCCAAAATTAATTAACTGAAACGAACTGATGCATGACTCTATTTCTTCTCCTATCCTAGTTTAAACAAAACGTTTTTATCTGTAAATTACTTACAGTTAAAACCATGTCATGTATTGAGGCAGAGAGTACAGAGCTGGTCTTGTCATGAAAGCTAAATATAAAAAAGCTAAATGTTTTGTGGATTTGATATTTAAGTGATTAGTTGGACTTGAAGACAGAAGTGTTTTTATGCCAATGTTATCCGGTTGCCCACATAAAAAGGTCAGACATGTGGTGGTTCATATATTTATATTCATTTTTCATTTTGAAAGCATGCAGTGGGTCTCTCGCCTTCTGCTCTGAGCACATATCCGTTTAACTTCAGAGCTCCAGGGGTCAGAGCACAGCAATCTGTCACATTTGACGTAAAAGTCCTTGAAGCAACCATACATTTATTTCTAATTTTAACACATTTTCTGTCTATGAGCAGCCTTTGATTGCTCCATTTAAACAAAATGATATATATACAGAACAGATAAGCACCCATCGTTTTCTCATTAACATTTCATGTGAACATATTTCTAGAGGCATAACAGTAAATAGTTTTCATCTTCTTTGTGCCTGCTCCAAATGATGCATAGTGATTCATCTCACATTAGTGCTTCAAAGAGAAATAGTAACAGTCATAAAACTAATGAACGGACCCTTCCTGGAACAGACAATTACGTAATGAATTTATCGACTTTTGGCTCTGCCGCATGGGATCTGATGATAGCACCCATATCAGAATGATAGTTCGCAGAGATACACGCGAAAAATGCAAGTGAACCACGGCCTTCAGGAAAATGACTCAGAACCAAAGACGATTGCTCTTAGAATAAAAGCAAAATAAGACGGAAAAAGCACAGTCAATGTTTAAATTATTATATGAAACACTACTAGGGTAACTGAACATAAGTAACTTTCTGAGCTTTCCTTTCAAATTATATGAGAATATATATATTTAATGTTGATGAATTCATCATTGATCTACATCACAAAAACACAAAACATATTCAAGAATAAAGCTGCAGAAATAAAATGCAATATACTGTATATGTTAATTTCCATGGCTAATGTGATCAAGCAGATGGGTCAAATTATTATTCAAACATACATTTTGTGGCCATTAGGACTCTATAAAGCCTCCTTGAGGGAAAAAGCTCAAATTGTTGAACAAAAATGAAACGTCCATCCTTTGCTACGATAAGAACATGTCACAGATTAAGGGTTGGTTGGCTTTGCTCAGTGTCTCTTAAAAGCT